GCAGTGTTGATAGAACCACTGTTGGTCTTGATGTGAAATGTAAATTATTGTGAATTAAACCTGAATTTGAGCCCATGCTGGAGTTTCATTTATGGTTTATGGTTATGTTTAACCCCGTAAGGACCAAACTTCTGGAATAAAAGGGAATCATGACACGTCACACATGTCTTGTGTCCTTAAGGGGTTAAAACAATCTTATGTGTAATTTATATGGCTGGTAAATTGTATATGACATGTGAAGACAGTTTTGCTGTTGACCAGTAGGGGTCATAAATGCTGATTGTATGGTAAAAATACCCTTTAACCCCTTAAGGACCAAACTTCTGGAATAAAAGGGAATCATGACATGACACACATGTCATGTGTCCCTAAGGAGTTAATCCTACCGTATGACAGATAGGAGTCAGTATAAAAGCGAAAATGCTGTAGTTAGTTTGTTTGCTTATGAAGTGAAATAAAGTCTGAGAAGACTGTAGTATACCTATTGACCGGTAGGGGTCAGCATGTAGGCGAAAATGCCGTGGTTTGTTGGTTTGTACATGAAATGCAATAATGTCTGAGAAGCCTGTAGTACACTGAATGACCGGTAGGTGTAAGTGTGTAGGTAAAAATGCAGTGGTTTATTGTTTTGTACACGAAAAGCAATAATGTCTAAGAAGCCTGTAGTACACCGAATGACTGATAGGGGTCAGTATGTAGGTGAAAAATGCAGTGGTTTGTTGGTTTGTACATAAAATGCAATTATGTCTGAGAAGCCTGTAGTACACAGAATGACTGGTAGGTGTCAGTGTGTAGGTGAAAATGCAGTGGTTTATTGTTTTGTACATGAAAAGCAATAATGTCTAAGAAGCCTGTAGTACACCGAATGACTGATAGGGGTCAGTGTGTAGGTGAAAAATTAAGTGGTTTGTTGGTTTGTACTTGAAATGCAATAATGTCGGAGAAGCCTGTAGTACACAGAATGACCGGTAGGGGTCAGTGTGTAGGCGCAAATGCAGTGGTTCGTTGATTTGTACATGAAATGCGATAATGTCTAAGAAGCCTGTAGTCCACCGAAAGACCAGTAGGGGTCAGTGTGTAGGTGTAAATGCAGTGGTTTATTGGTTTGTACATGAAAATGCAAACAACGCCTAAGAAGCCTGTAGTACACCAAATGACCAATAGGGGTCAGTGTGTAGGTGAAAAATGCGGTGGTTCGTTGGTTTGTACATGAAATGCAATAATGTCTGAGAAGCCTGTAGTACACCGAATGACCGGTAGGGGTCAGTGTGTAAGCAAAGATGCAGTGGTTCGTTGGTTTGTACATGAAATGTGATAATGTCTAAGAAGTCTGTAGTACACCCAAAGACCAGTAGGGGGTTTAAACGAATGATATGCATGAACATGCAATGGTTTTAGAACAGACTTAGACAAAATGCAGCAGTAAAGTGAGGACCTGACCCTTGCATGGTGCCGTGGGACTGATGCCTGGCGTAATGGGTAGGTCAACTTACGGTTTGTGAGTCACTTGGACACCATCCACAGCGATAGATTGAAGAAAGAAGGTGGTAGGCCGGAAAAGCCTGTGGCTGAATTCCTGACACAGCTCAGCTTAGAAAACCTCATGGAGTAATCAGGTAAAATGGCGTCTGGATGACCCGGAAGTGGAAATCATTCTGATGCTGACCTCAAGCGATATGAGTCAGGTAAGGGGTGTCCCTTATATAGGGGAGTGAATTAATTTAAGCCCCTCCCACAAATACAGGCAAAACTGCCTTAATACATATCACGATTACCGACTCCTCCTCCCTTCAATACGTCTCTTTGTTGGAATTCTAAAGGCTCTGTCCTCGGCCCTCTTCTTTTCTCAATTTACACTGTCTCTCTTGCTGACATGAGATGATCTTATAGCTTTTAGTATCACATGTACACTGATGATACACTGATTTACCTCTCTACATCTAATCTTTTTCCACATCAGTTTGATTGTGTCACTGATTCCCTATCCTCGTTTCTGGCTAGATGAGCTCATTATTACTAAAACTCAACAATACTGAACTCATTGTGCCACATCCGACTCTTCCCATCACTGATGTCTTTCAAAAAATCCTTAAAGGACCACTATAGGCACCCAGACCACTTCAGCTTAATGAAGTGGTCTGGGTGCCAGGTCCAGCTAGGTTTAACCCTTTTTTCTATAAACATAGCAGTTTCAGAGAAACTGCTATGTTTATAATAGGGTTAATCCAGCCTCTAGTGGCTGTCTCATTGACAGCCGCTAGAGGCGCTTCTCACTGTGAATGCTTTCCTATGAGACTGGCAGAATGCACGCGCGGCTCGTGCTGCGCATGCGCCTTCAGCCGAGGCGGAGGAGAGGAGGAGGAGAGTCCCCTGCCAGGCGCTGGAGAAAGAGGTAAGTTTAACCCCTTCCTCCCCCTAGAGCCCGGCGGGAGGGGGACCCTGAGGGTTGGGGCACTATAGTGCCAGGAAAATGAGTATGTTTTCCTGGCACTATAGTGGTCCTTTAAAACCGCTTGCTCCTTAATTCCTCATCCCTGATAACCTTCCTCTGCTGTCTTCTATTAGCTGTTGTCCCTCCTCCCAAACACCCTTCTTTCCTCTCATGTATATCCAGATTATTTGAATTCCTCATTTCCCTCTGTGTATTTGTCCCTCATTCTTTTAGATTATAAACTTGCTTGGATAGAACACTCATCTCCTACTGTTCCTTTATATTAAACGTGTTTTGTTTGTTTTGTTTTAGCTATTGTACAGTGCTATGAAATATATTGGTGCTATATCAATAATTGTAGAGTTGTATGCAGGGTTGTGTGTGTAGAGTTGTATGTAGGGTTGTGTGTGAATTTGGCTGTGTGTTTTGTGTTGGGAAGCAGTGAAGGGGGAGGAGCTGTGTATGCTTTGTGTATGTATATTTTGGTATAAGATTCCCTGTGGTCCTGTGAGGTGCTATGTACCTCTTGCCCATGGTGGTCATACTTCCTGGGGTACACATTCCACAGATTGAGAAACAGGGTTTTGAGGACAGTCAGAAAGTACTCTCTCCCTCTGCAAAAAAAAAACAAACAAAAAAAACAAGATACAGTTACAAGTGACTGTATGCAGTTACCTACACTGCCTCCTGTCATATTCAGCCTTGGAGGATATCTGGAGGTTGCTGAGATCTTGGTGTAACCAGTTGTGGCACATTCCACATCCCACAACTGATGTGCAGTAAGTGGAAATGGACGTGCAATGAAACAGTATGGCTGCTCTACTTCCTTCTCATAATGGGCATTGTTGTGAAGATCAATACATGAACAAGAAACTACCAGCGCGCTTTATCTTGATCCTTGGGTTGGCCCAAAGTTTGATTGCAATCTACCAGACAATCTCTAAATCAGGGGGTCATCAACCTGGTCCCTACTGTCCAGTAGTGGGCGATTTAGGCTTTCATAGTGTGCAGTGGTGGGTTTTGCAGCACAACTACATACTCCACGCAGTCACAAGCCTCCCTCTAGCCAGCCATCGAGAGAGATGACCTCCTTGGTTTGCTAACTTTCTCTTGATGCCTAAAAGGAAGTGCGCACGTGACTGCACTCCTGATTGGGGGCGTGATGATGTAAAACACCAGAAAAGGAGGGAGAGGAGGGGAGGTGATGCATGGATGTGAAAGCAGGGACAGTCAGAAGCATTGTGTTTAATGAGTGAGTGGCTGATGTTTTGGTAAGCCAAGATCTGTTTACCTGTAAAATAAAATTTAAAAAAAGGAAAAGAAAAGAAAGCAAAGGAATAGACCTCTGATATATTAATATTCCTTTTATCTTTGTTGTTGTTGACTAATAATAAAGTGGGCTACCTAGTTCAGTCTTCCTGCTGGTCATTGCAATAAGGAAGGTAAAAGAGAAGAAGAAAAAGAAAGGAAAAAGAGGAAAAAATAATAGGAAAGGTTGACTATCCCTGCTCTAAATGATGTCAGGCCACCTGTTGTCGAATGTCATAAAGACATATTTTCAACTTTAGAAGACTTTGATATTTGTTTTACAGGGGCCTATAGGATCACTATAGAACGCTGGCCATGCAAGATCTCAGAAACTTAATCGTACTATGTGTCCAGTACTGCTGGGTTATTCTACATGCATGCAAAGTACAAGTGAGAGACTCTCTACAGCAGAATATGATCTGGCCTTGCACTCCTCTGCCAGCAGACCTCACAGCTTATCGGGCATGGGTGCAGCACAACATAAAAGCTTGATTAAAGGTCCACTCCTCTCTTCCAACCCACCCCCAAAAAACCCTCACAGTTTAGTAGATATATTCCCAATGAATACAAGCATGCATATTTTTATGGGTGTATTCATTGGGAGGATAGTCTGAAATAGATTACAAAAGCTGCAGTTCTTATAACTGCAGCCTTTGTAAGCCCCTCCCCCTTTTTTCCCGGAAGACACTTTCAGTCTCTTCACATACAGCCCCTACACATAAAATGTTACACCCCACATACATCAAATTCATACCCCCTTCCAGTGGCGTACATACTGGGGTCGCAGGGGTCACGGCTGCGACCGGGCCCGACCCACCAGGGGGCCCGGCCGCCCTGCGACCCGGTATGTACCCAGTGGGGCCAGCCTCTTCTCCTGGGGGGCCCAGGAGCTGGCCACCTCAGGGCCCCCCCGAGGCTGGCCCTGGTGTCACTGGGCGGGCAGGCTGGCATGCCCGAGGGAGCACTCTACCCTGAGTACTCCCTGTTCAGCTCCCTCGCTCACCGCACTGATGCCACAGCCGGAATATGACGTCATATTCCGGCACCGGCATCAGTAAACGGCGTGTGAGGGAGCTGAACAGGAAGCACTCAGGGGAGAGTGCTCCCTCGCGTGCGCGCCAGCCTGCCCGTCTGGTGACCGGCCGCCCAGCAACACCACTGGACCCCAGGGAATCCCCTCGGCACTCCCAAAGGTAGGGAGGCTGGAGGATTAAATTTTTTTTTAAATGCGTGTGTTAGTGTTAGAGTGTGTGTGTTAGTGTGTGTGTGTGTGTTAGAGTGTGTTAGAGTGTGTGTGTTAGAGTGTGTTAGTGTTAACACACACACTATCAGTAACACACACTCTAACACACACACTGTAACACACACACACTCTAACACTAACACACACACACACTAACACTAACACACACACATTCTAACACACACACACTCTAACACTAACACACTAACACACACACTCTAACACTAACACTAGAGTGTGTGTGTGTGTGTGTGTGTTAGTGTGTGTGTTAGAGTGTGTGTGTGTGTTAGTGTCAGTGTGTATGCCAGTGAGTGTGTTACTGAGTGTGTTAGTTTGTGTGTGTTAGTGTGTGTGTTAGAGTGTGTGTGTGTTAGTGTGTGTGTGTTAACACTAACACACTCTATCAGTAACACACACTCTAACACACACACTCTAACACACACACTCTAACACTAACACACACACACACACACACACTGTAACACACACACACTCTAACACTAACACTAGAGTGTGTGTGTGTGTTAGAGTGTGTGTGTGTTAGAGTGTGTGTGTGTTAGTGTCAGTGTGTATGCCAGTGAGTGTGTTACTGAGTGTGTTAGTTTGTGTGCGTCGGTTAGTGAGTCTGTTTGGTGTCTGTTAGTGAGTGTGTATGTGTCTGTCAGTGAGTGTGTATGTATGTCTGTCACTGAGTGTGTGTCTGTCAGTAAATGTGTGTGTCTGTTAGCTAGTGTGTATGCGTCTGTTCGTGAGAGTGTGTGTCTTCAGCATTTACCTTTCTTCAGCGCCGGACTCCCTTGGCGCTGGGGATCCCTCCGCCCCGATCCGCCTCTCAGTTCCGAATGCGCATGCGCGGCAAGAGCCGCGCGCGCATTCAAACCACCCATAGGAAAGCATTACTCAATGCTTTCATATGGACGTTCAGCATCTTCTCACTGTGATTTTCACAGTGAGAATCGCGGAAGCTCCTCTAGCAGCTGTCAATGAGACAGCCAACAGAGGCTGGATTAACCCTCAGTGAAAGATAGCAGTTTCTCTGAAACTGCTATGTTTTCAGCTACAGGATTAAAACTAGAGGGACCTGGCACACAGACCACTTCATTGAGCTGATGTGATCTGGGTGTCTGTAGTGGTCCTTTAAGTGTATGTGTATCTGCATGCACTGGTGTACATACCGCGGTCGCAGCCCTGTGACCCCTGCGACCAGGTGCCCGCCGCCATGTGTTGCTGCCCCGGCCAACGCAGAGTAAGCGCGGGGGGCGGGCCTATGGATCATTTTTCGCACCGGGGCCCCATGGGTTGTGTGTACGCCACTGCCCCCTTCACATAAAGACCCTGTACCCACTTAACATAAAGTGCATACACCCTTAATAAAAAAATTGTAGTAAGGCAATTTAAAAAAAAATGAAAACAAAATCATTAATAAACATTATTCCCCCCTCATTGCTTGCAAGCCTTAATGGTCCAGTGGTTAAGCCCTGGTGTTTCGGTGGTGAGTGAACTTTAGTCTGTAGTTCTTCATGCTTGAGTTCACTATTGCAAGATCTGATTGGAGTGTTGCTATGGCAACCAATCAAATGCTTTGACCTGGTGAGTGGAACCTACAGGACCCAGCAGAGCTACTGGCTAGAGCTCCCAGGTACTCCTCTGCCGGATTGAAGTGCCGTGAGCGTGAGGGAGATCTTTGTTCTCCCCACCGGCCCATCATGGAACAAAGCAAGCCGGCGCTTGCTTAGCGCGGACCCCTCATGGGACATCAGGAGAGATCTTGTGAACTCCCCTATTGGCCTCAGCTCATGGCCATCGTGACCCACTCTTTCTCCTTCTTTAGCTATTTTAGTCAGGTTTTTGCAACTGGGTCAATTCCAGCACAATTCACCATAACTCATGGTTTGGTGCATAAACCCTTTGGGTACTGCACACAAAAATAACAAGTGGAAAAAAAAAGGCATTACACTTTCCAAGCTGCTCTTATTGTTTCCAGACCACATTCATGGGTAGAATTGCTGTTTTAATAAAGCTTTGATGAAAAGTCTAGATTAGTAACAATGCTCTTAAAATAAAAATTAGTATTATGATAATGTATTTGTGAGCAAGAATGTAGACATTTATTTATAGACAGTGTGCATATGTGTTTGGGAGAATGTGGGAATACCAATCCTAAAAATGCCATCTTTTGGCACATCTTCCCCTTCTAACTACCGTCCCGTATCTCTACTACCTTACTCCTCAAAATTTCTGGAATGACTTGTCTTTACCCATCTGGCATGCTTTCTCAACTCCAACTCTTTCCTTGATCCTCTTCAATCTGGCTTCCTTCCATTCTACTGAGACTGCTCGGATGAAATTAACTAACTGAAGTGGAAATCAATTCAATCAATTGATTATTCTTTGTGTATCTGCCCTGGCCAAATTAAGAAACAATGCGTGCATGCTCCCTGAAGTAATTCACACCAGACACAGGTTTCAGGTTGATGAATAACTTGAGGAATGTTTATTCAGAGGGGACGGCAGGTCCCTTTTAAAGCAAAATTACATCATAAGCATTGTCAGAGATAACATTATTATTATTATTATTGCCATTTATATAGCGCCAACAGATTCCGTAGCGCTTTACAATATTTTGAGGGGATGTAACAATAAATAGGACAATTACAAGAAAACTTACAGGAACAATAGGTTGAAGAGGACCCTGCTCAAACGAGTTTACAGACTATAGGAGGTAGGGTATTAGAAACATTAGGACATGGAATATCAAGTAGGAGTGAAGCAGAGCTGGAGGAGAGAGCAAAGCACTGTCCCATAGGAGAGAGCAGGAGACAGGTATGTAAGGTAGAGATTACTCTGGGAGGCCATACACTTTCCTGAAGAGATGGGTTTTAAGGCCCTTCTTAAATGATTGAAGACTAGGGGAGAGTCTGATGGCAGTAGGCAAGTTATTCCATAGGAGAGGAGCCGCCCGCGAGAGGTCCTGCGCGAGTTGGCTGTACGGGTGCGAGCAGCGGACAGGAGGTGGTCACGGGCAGAGCGGAGGGTACGCGGAGGGGCATATCTATGGATTAGTGAAGAGATATAAGAGGGGCTAGAATTGTTCAGTGCTTTAAATGTATGGGTTAGCACTTTGAATTGACTCCTATAGCATACAGGGAGCCAATGTAAGGACCGGCAGAGGGGTGAGGTGTGAGAGGACCCACTAGAGAGGAAAATCAGTCTAGCTGCAGCATTCATTACAGACTGTAGCGGGGCAATACGGCTTTTGGGAAGACCAATCAGGAGAGGGTTACAGTAATCCATGCGGGAAATTACTAGAGCATGGACAAGCTCCTTGGTAGCATCTTGCTTAAGAAAGGGGCGAATGCGGGCTATGTTTTTTAGTTGGAGCCTACAGGACTTGGCAACAAACTGGATGTGAGACTCAAAGGTGAGACCAGAGTCAAGTATGACGCCAAGACAGCGCGCTTGCAGGGATGGACTTATGTGGATATCACTGACTTGAAGGGAGAGCGAAAGAGGAGGATCAGTATTAGGAGGAGGAGGAAAGACAAGGAGTTCCGTTTTAGAGAGATTAAGTTTCAGAAAGCATGAGGACATCCAGTCAGAGATGGAAGAAAGGCAAGCAGTGACACGTTGCAGGACGGCAGGGGAGAGGTCCGGGGAGGAGAGGTATATCTGAGTGTCATCAGTGTACAGGTGGTAGTGGAATCCAAAAGAGGCAATAAGTTTACCAAGAGAGGCAGTATAAAGAGAAAATAGAAGGGGACCAAGGACAGACCCTTGGGGAACTCCAACTGAGACAGGACGAGGGGAGGAGGTGTTCTTGGAAAAGGAGACACTGAATGAGCGTTGGGAGAGATAGGAGGAAAACCAAGAGAGGACAGAGTCACAGAGACCGAGCGATTGAAGAGTTTGAAGGAGGAGAGCATGATCAATGGTGTCAAAGGCAGCAGAGAGGTCAAGGAGAATTAATATGGAGTAGTGACCTTTGAATTTAGCGGAGATTAGGTCATTAGTCACTTTGATAAGAGCAGTCTCAGTAGAGTGGAGAGGGCGGAAGCCAGACTGAAGAGGGTCAAGGAGAGAGTTGGAATTAAGGAAGCGGGACACACGGGTAAAGACAACATGAAATAATACTTTATTAATTGGTAGGTGTTAAGTGGTTCTCTTAATGCTCTGCCTACTAAGGGTGATGTCACTGGGACCACAAGGGTCTCCCCCGGATTCCAGCGCCATCTTGTTACACGAGGTAGTTAGTCGGTGTTATGGGGGGGAGGGGTTAGAAGCTTCTAGTGGCCATTTTGTCTAAACATGTGTTAATAGCTCATTCACTGATTTCGGTTAGATGAGTAAATAGACATTTTACTAACTAGAAATTATGTCAATATCTCATTTCCACAACACTAACGATCATGGCTAAATGCAAACGGCACTACTCCATACTATTTTCTTTTTATTCTTTGACACTGTTGATCATGCTCTCCTTCTGTAAACTCTTTACTCCATTGGTCCCTTTAACACTGGTCATTTTGTGGTTCTCGTCCTATCTTTCTCAACATTCAGTGTCTCCTTTACTAAGAGCACCTCCTTCCCTTGTCTTGTCTCGGCTGGAGTCCCCAAAGGCTCCATTCTATGTCACCTTTTGTTTTCTCTTTATACTACCTCTCTGGGCAAATTTATTAATTACTTTGGATTCTGCTACCATCTGTATGCCAATTACAAACAGCTATATCTCTCCATCCTGTCATAGTTATGTAAGGGAACCCAAAACTCACAAACCCTAATCTACTAAAAGAGAGATACCACATATTACCGGGCCTTAGAATGGCTGGATTTAAAGGAACACTATAGTCATCTAAATTACTTTAGCTAAATAAAGCAGTTTTAGTGTATAGATCATTCCCCTGCAATTTCACTGACATTTAGGAGTTAAATCACTTTGTTTCTGTTTATGCAGCCCTAGCCACACCTCCCCTGGCTATGATTGACAGAGCCTGCATGAAAAAAAAACTGGTTTCACTGGTTTCAAACAGATGTAATTTACCTTAAATAATTGTATCTCAATCTCTAAATTAAAACTTTAGCAAGCTATTAACAGAGCAGGGGATAAGAAAATCTTAATTAAACAGAACTTGCAATAAAGAAAGCCTAAATTGGGCTCTCTTTACAGGAAGTGTTTATGGAAGGCTGTGCAAGTCACATGCAGGGAGGTGTGACTAGGGTTCATAAACAAAGGGATTTAACTCCTAAATGGCAGAGGATTGAGCAGTGAGGCTGCAGGGGCATGCTCTATACACCAAAACTGCTTCATTAAGCTAAAGTTGATCAGGTGGTATAGACAATGGAACCAGCGCTTATATGTTAAAGTTAATGTTAAATATAAATATAACTTATAATAATCAATAGCTGCCAAACATTCAAAGATTCCTATAAACACACAAAACAAATTAAGAATGTAGCGCTTATACAAAAACAAAATTAATGAATCACCTTTTCAATTTGAGGTAAAATGTCACTGGAAAATCGACAAGGAAAGATGTAAATGGAGAGCTGTCGAATTAGCTCTAGTTTAAACGGCTTCTGGGTCTGTACAGGTGGCCCCAAACCCTTCTTATAATGTGTTCCTGGGGTCTGTAGATGAATAAAAATACACCAAATTGCGCAATATCGTTTGTGATGTTTCAGAGAAAATATATGTGATCTTTTACGTGGGTACTCACAAGTGTGGAGTCAAAATATATTGACTCAATTTCATAGCATTGTGCAAATTCGGGACTGCACTCCCCATTCAATGAACCGATATCGGAAACCAGGATCATCCAAAAGTAAAAACAATTATTTATTTAATACACTCATATATATAAATAAATTAGCCACAATGTGCTTTAAAAATACCGGGACGCGTTTCGCCACTACCGACGTGGCTTCTTCAAACCGGATTGTAGAAAAGCAACAGTGATCCTGGAACTCCTCTTCTTGAGTTTAAATATACAAAAACGGCGGGCAAATTCCACAGCTCCTTAACCGTCGCACATCGGTACCACCCACAGGTACGACGTGTGCGGTCCATGCCTCCCTTTCATGTTAATATCGGGAGCGAAGATGCTTATATTCTTTCTTATCGTTCCCATTCGTCTTTGTTTTTCAATAGCTGATATATATATCTTAAAAGTTCATTATTAATATAAAAATTAAATCCTCTAATGTCCTTAAAAGTCCGTCCAGCAAAGAATAATATTTGTTCTCATATATAAAAAAAAAAAAAACCAGGAAAGAAAGCAAGAAATAGAAAAAAAAAAAAAAAAAAAACAAGGGACAGCATCAGTTTTCTTCTTGTTACAAATATTACGGTCTCTTTCATCTGTAACATTTTGTTTTGCCAATTCTGATTCACAATGATATTGTAATAGATACATTGTCGGTCTTAGTTATTCCACAGTAATTTACAAATTATTTTCTAAACAACAAATTAGTTAACTCATTACAAAAAAGATTAAAATATTGCAAGATAATTGTTATAAAGGCTATTACAATTATTATTGTTTGTACCCTAATCAATTTAATTAACAATACTAGCAAAGTAATTTCCAATCCTTTTAGCATACATGTTTATAAATTATTATAAATGAATTATTTAAACGAAATCTTCAAATCTTTATATGCTTATATCGTTATACATAAATCGTACATATCTATCTTATCTATATAATGACTTCTAAAATCCAATAATATATAAATAAATTACTTGCATAAAATATTATAAAAAGTGACTGTATATGTTTCCCCACCTAAAACTAAGAAAGGGGTTTATATAACTACTAACATAATGCTTCCCCTTTTTTTCTTTTAAAGAATTCCATTATAAAAAATGGCACAACTCAAAATCCGCGTTAAGACCATATGGAATTAGCGTATTTAATCTATAGATCCATTCCATCTCACGCTTACCTAAATCTCTTACGAAGTCCCCTCCTCTCCAATTTCTATTTATTTTATTAATCCCCATAAACTGTAAACCCTCTGATTTTTGGTCATGACATAATTTAAAATGGCTCGAGACGCTATGTTGCTCGAAACCTGTCTGGATTTTGTATATGTGTTCTCTGATTCTAGTGTGCAGTGGTCTTGTAGTCCTCCCCACATATTTCAGTCCACATGGACAGATTAGAAGATATACTACATTTTTAGTATAGCATGTTATGAATTGCTTGATCTGAATTTTTTTCCCCTTATCCGATGTTATATCTTTTATTATTCTTCGTTTACATCCTGACTTTTTACAGGCAGAACACTGGCCACAACCATAAAATCCTTTCTCATTATTAAATATAGTGAAGGTATGGTTTTGTTCCTTAAGAGAACTCCGAACCAAGCTATTCCTCAGATTTTTTGCACCCCTATAAATCATCCTAGGTTTTGCAGGAAGAATTTGTTTAAGTGCTGGATCCTGTAATAGGATCGGCCAATATTTCCTGATGATTCGGTTTATTTGATAGTTATTGTTGTTATAATTGCAGATGAAAGGAATATCTTTGTATTAGTAATAGTTTTGGTTTTATATACTAATAAATCCTTTCTCTCCCTATTCCTTATTTCATTTCTCGATTTCTCTAGTTTTTCTACATCATAGCCCTTCACGGCAAAATCAGCTTTTATCCGTGATGATTGTTCATCATAGACTTCCAAATCGCTGCAGTTTCGTCTAATTCTAAGAAATTGTCCCTTGGGGGCATTTTCCAACCACGGAGAGTGGTGGCAGCTTATACTCTCTATAAAACTATTGCAGTCAACTTTTTTAAAATGATTTTTAGTTTTAATTTTACCTCCTTCAATAAAAATATCGAGATCTAAAAAGGTTACTATTTCTTTACTCCAAGTGCTACTTAGCCTGATACCCCAATTATTGGTATTTAAAAATTCTAAAAAGGAGACTAAGTCATTTTCTTCTCCCCTCCAAATCAATAAAATGTCATCAATGTATCGGCCATAGAAGGCCAAGCTTCCCCCCCAGCCATGCCCCTCATAAACATAGGATTCTTCCCAAAAAGACATAAATAGGTTTGCATAGCTGGGGGCAAACTTGGTCCCCATGGCCGTCCCATTCGTTTGTAGGAAAAAGGTATCATTGTACCAAAAAAAATTATTATTTAAAATAAGTTTTATTCCTTCCACTATGTATTCTATCTGTTCCTGTTTAAATTCTTTTGATTCCATTAAAAAGTGTTTTGCTGCTCTACATCCATAGGAATGGGGAATGTTACTGTAAAAGGGCCGTCACATCACAAGTGACTAAAATACAGTCATTATCCCAGGGCATATCTTCCAAAACTTGTAAGACTGTAATCGTATCTTTAATATGTGATCTAGTTTTCATGACTAAAGGTTGCAATTGAACATCTATATATTGTGATAGTCTGCTTGAAATGGAGTCTATGCCTGCTATAATGGGTCTTCCTGGAGGTTTTTCTACATTTTTATGGACTTTAGGTAAAAAATAAAAAACTGGTATTTTGGGGAATTTGATATTTAAAAACTGGAATTCTTTTAAACTTAAAATATTCTCATTAAACCCTTTGTTAAAAAAGTTAAAAAAAGAGAATTAATACTGTCACTTGGGTTCATCCCTAATTGTTGGTAAGTATTCGAATCTTTTAAAATATTATTTGCTTCTGTATCATAAAACTGTTTAGACATAAGCACTATCCCCCCTCCCTTATCTGCCGGTTTAATAACTAAATTTTTATCTGTTTGAAGATCTTTAAGTGCATTCTTTTCCAATATTGTCAAGTTATCTTTAAACTTGTCTTTAGGGATAATTTTATTTATTTCTGTTGTAACCATAGTTTCAAATGTTATTATTTCGTCTGATAGCATTTGTTTGGGGTAGAAGGAGGATTTGTTTTTAAGGGAGGTATGTTTAAACCCAGATTCATCTTCTAGATTTATATTTTGGTTAATTTGTTCCCTATTAAGCGGGTCTCCCCAAAAAATTTTTTTAAACATAAACTACGTTTAAAGCGGTTTAAATCTATATACATATCGAAATGATTTAATCCTGTGCTAGGGGCAAATTTTAACCCTTTATAAATCTAATTACCCTAGGAGATTTTTTCATAACGAAACAAGAGAGAAGTGGAGACCAAGATTGAATACCACTAGGGATAATTATAATTACACTAATATAAGGAAGAATTCAGAAGGAGAGAGAAGAAGCTATAGGAATAGGGAAGATTTTCAGAATTATAGAGAACAGAGACCATATAGACAATACCAGAGCAATCAGGAAAGAATCCCCACTTATAACAGATATGAAGCTCTGTCAGACTATAGGGAAGAAGAGGTTTTTCGACAATCCAAAACCAAAGACAGACACAAGTTAGACCAAGAGCAAAGTATTCCAACAAATTCCAAGAAAAGGAGAGCCTCAGATATAGAGGAACAAGGGGAGGAAAACGAATACAGATCAAAAAGAAGGGATCTGAATCTACGGAATTAATAAAAGGCATTTTTAATTTAAGTGATAAAATTCTTGACAATCATCATAAATCAGTACTTAATAAAGGGTTAAAATTTGCCCCTAGCACAGGATTAAATCATTTTGATATGTATATAGATTTAAACCGCTTTAAACGTAGTTTATGTTTAAAAAAATTTTTTTGGGGAGACCCGCTTAATAGGGAACAAATTAACCAAAATATAAATCTAGAAGATGAATCTGGGTTTAAACATACCTCCCTTAAAAACAAATCCTCCTTCTACCCCAAACAAATGCTATCAGACGAAATAATAACATTTGAAACTATGGTTACAACAGAAATAAATAAAATTATCCCTAAAGACAAGTTTAAAGATAACTTGACAATATTGGAAAAGAAGGCACTCAAAGATCTTCAAACAGATAAAAATTTAGTTATTAAACCGGCAGATAAGGGAGGGGGGATAGTGCTATGTCTAAACAGTTTTATGATACAGAAGCAAATAATATTTTAAAAGATTCGAATACTTACCAACAATTAGGGATGAACCCAAGTGACAGTATTAATTCTCTTTTTTTAACTTTTTTTTAACAAAGGGTTTAATGAGAATATTTTAAGTTTAAAAGAATTCCAGTTTTTAAATATCAAATTCCCCAAAATACCAGTTTTTTATTTTTTACCTAAAGTCCATAAAAATGTAGAAAAACCTCCAGGAAGACCCATTATAGCAGGCATAGACTCCATTTCAAGCAGACTATCACAATATATAGATGTTCAATTGCAACCTTTAGTCATGAAAACTAGATCACATATTAAAGATACGATTACAGTCTTACAAGTTTTGGAAGATATGCCTTGGGATAATGACTGTATTTTAGTCACTTGTGATGTGGCGGCCCTTTACAGTAACATTCCCCATTCCTATGGATGTAGAGCAGCAAAACACTTTTTAATGGAATCAAAAGAATTTAAACAGGAACAGATAGAATACATAGTGGAAGGAATAAAACTTATTTTAAATAATAATTTTTTTGGTACAATGATACCTTTTTCCTACAAACGAATGGGACGGCCATGGGGACCAAGTTTGCCCCCAGCTATGCAAACCTATTTATGTCTTTTTGGGAAGAATCCTATGTTTATGAGGGGCATGGCTGGGGGGGAAGCTTGGCCTTCTATGGCCGATACATTGATGACATTTTATTGATTTGGAGGGGAGAAGAAAATGACTTAGTCTCCTTTTTAGAATTTTTAAATACCAATGATTGGGGTATCAGGCTAAGTAGCACTTGGAGTAAAGAAATAGTAACCTTTTTAGATCTCGATATTTTTATTGAAGGAGGTAAAATTAAAACTAAAAATCATTTTAAAAAAGTTGACTGCAATAGTTTTATAGAGAGTATAAGCTGCCACCACTCTCCGTGGTTGGAAAATGCCCCCAAGGGACAATTTCTTAGAATTAGACGAAACTGCAGCGATTTGGAAGTCTATGATGAACAATCATCACGGATAAAAGCTGATTTTGCCGTGAAGGGCTATGATGTAGAAAAACTAGAGAAATCGAGAAATGAAATAAGGAATAGGGAGAGAAAGGATTTATTAGTATATAAAACCAAAACTATTACTAATACACAAGATATTCCTTTTATCTGCAATTATAACAACAATAACTATCAAATAAACCGAATCATCAGGAAATATTGGCCGATCCTATTACAGGATCCAGCACTTAAACAAATTCTTCCTGCAAAACCTAGGATGATTTATAGGGGTGCAAAAAATCTGAGGAATAGCTTGGTTCGGAGTTCTCTTAAGGAACAAAACCATACCTTCACTATATTTAATAATGAGAAAGGATTTTATGGTTGTGGCCAGTGTTCTGCCTGTAAAAAGTCAGGATGTAAACGAAGAATAATAAAAGATATAACATCGGATAAGGGGAAAAAAATTCAGATCAAGCAATTCATAACATGCTATACTAAAAATGTAGTATATCTTCTAATCTGTCCATGTGGACTGAAATATGTGGGGAGGACTACAAGACCACTGCACACTAGAATCAGAGAACACATATACAAAATCCAGACAGGTTTCGAGCAACATAGCGTCTCGAGCCATTTTAAATTATGTCATGACCAAAAATCAGAGGGTTTACAGTTTATGGGGATTAATAAAATAAATAGAAATTGGAGAGGAGGGGACTTCGTAAGAGATTTAGGTAAGCGTGAGATGGAATGGATCTATAGATTAAATACGCTAATTCCATATGGTCTTAACGCGGATTTTGAGTTGTGCCATTTTTTATAATGGAATTCTTTAAAAGAAAAAAAGGGGAAGTATTATGTTAGTAGTTATATAAACCCCTTTTTTAGTTTTAGGTGGGGAAACATATACAGTCACTTTTTATAATATTTTATGCAAGTAATTTATTTATATATTATTGGATTTTAGAAGTCATTATATAGATAAGATAGATATGTACGATTTATGTATAACGATATAAGCATATAAAGATTTGAAGATTTCGTTTAAATAATTCATTTATAATAATTTATAAACATGTATGCTAAAAGGATTGGAAATTACTTTGCTAGTATTGTTAATTAAATTGATTAGGCTACAAACAATAATAATTGTAATAGCCTTTATAACAATTATCTTGCAATATTTTAATCTTTTTTGTAATGAGTTAACTAATTTGTTGTTTAGAAAATAATTTGTAAGTTACTGTGGAATAACTAAGACCGACAATGTATCTATTACAATATCATTGTGAATCAGAATTGGCAAAACAAAATGTTACAGATGAAAGAGACCGTAATATTTGTAACAAGAAGAAAACTGATGCTGTCCCTTGTTTTTTTTTTTTATTTCTTGCTTTCTTTCCTGGTTTTTTTTTTTTTATATATGAGAACAAATATTATTCTTTGCTGGACGGACTTTTAAGGACATTAGAGGATTTAATTTTTATATTAATAATGAACTTTTAAGATATATATATCAGCTATTGAAAAACAAAGACGAATGGGAACGGTAAGAAAGAATATAAGCATCTTCGCTCCCGATATTAACATGAAAGGGAGGCATGGACCGCACACGTCGTACCTGTGGGTGGTACCGATGTGCGACGGTTAAGGAGCTGTGGAATTTGCCCGCCGTTTTTGTATATTTAAACTCAAGAAGAGGAGTTCCAGGATCACTGTTGCTTTTCTACAATCCGGTTTGAAGAAGCCACGTCGGTAGTGGCGAAACGCGTCCCGGTATTTTTAAAGCACATTGTTGCTAATTTATTTATATATATGAGTGTATTAAATAAATAATTGTTTTTACTTTTGGATGATCCTGGTTTCCGATATCGGTTCATTGAATGGGGAGTGCAGTCCCGAATTTGCACAATGCTATGAAATTGAGTCAATATATTTTGACTCCACACTTGTGAGTACCCACGTAAAAGATCACATATATTTTCTCTGAAACATCACAAACGATATTGCGCAATTTGGTGTATTTTTATTCATCTACAGACCCCAGGAACACATTATAAGAAGGGTTTGGGGCCACCTGTACAGACCCAGAAGCCGTTTAAACTAGAGCTAATTCGACAGCTCTCCATTTACATCTTTCCTTGTCGATTTTCCAGTGACATTTTACCTCAAATTGAAAAGGTGATTCATTCATTTTGTTTTTGTATAAGCGCTACATTCTTAAAGTTGATCAGGTGACTATAGTGTCCCTTTAACATTTAGAAAAGTCAGAGAGAAAGCCAAGGTCAAGAATAGTAGAGAACGGGATAATCAATAAAGAAGCCAAAAGGTCAGGAAAATAGAAAGCAGGAAAAGGTTAAACAAGTCAAAGTCAGTAACAGAAAATACAATACAATGCATTCTTGGGTATATGAGAATCACAACAGAGCAACCTGTTCCCTAAAGCTCTGGCTTTAACTAGCCAGAACATTTAAACTATTGGTTGGCATCATTTTGGAGCGCCGAAGTCCCAAACTCAGCGGAATGCCTAGTTCAGGTCTTTACTGTGTTCGTTGGCGCTGATCTCTTTCCTGATGTCCAAGAATGCATTACCAGTTGCTTCTCTTCCATCTCTTATTGGATGTCCCCTTTCTGAAGAAAGAAACTGAAATGTATTACCACCAGAGCCTGATAAGTTCAACAAAGTTCTGAAAGGATTTTAGATGCTATTTTAGTTTTGGGTAATTATGTATGAACGATATTTAATGTTTTCTCTCAAACGGTCTGGATTCACAGATATGATGTGATTTGGTTACAAGGAGACCAGAAGTATCTGTAATTCCATATTCACCATTTTACATGGTCAGGCAGGGTTTGGGAATAGATTAACTGCCCCCATAACACGGTAATTCCATCCCTATCCCCTCAAAAGTGCTGGGCTAAGATAAGTGACTATAACCCCAAATAATTTGTTAATCCACTCTGAGAGCCAAGCTGAATTAGTAGTGGGTTTCCATTATTAAAGGCTGTCTTGGTAAAGCTGGCACACTGCACAGGGTCCTGGGAATCCTGTTTCTGGCTCTGGGGTTTGTCCATCTGGATAAAATCCTGCTTTACTCAGTGATTCCAGCTGTTTACTCCTCCCTCCCAGTACTGTATGTTACAGTAAGTGCCCCCTCCCGGTCAGTCATGTGCCCTGTGCACGCTGAGTGCCTGCAGCGCGTGCCGCCTTACTCTGTGACTGGCCGCTGATTGGCTGCCGTGTCCTGCCGGGGGCGGGGCCGGCCGCACTGACATGCTGGTGGCGAGGTGGAGCAGCTGGTGGCCGTGTCCGTGCCTGGCAGGAAGCAGCTCGGGGACAGAGCGGGCAGGACTGGAGGGGGGCACATCCGGCACGGGCGGGGGTACAGCAACAGGACCATGGAGAATGAGCAGCATGGACAGGAGGAGGACCGGTGAGACTATCCGTGCGGGCTGGACAGGGACTGGCGGCTATAGACCGCTGTGTTACAGCACTGTTTATATAACCAATACATAGAATGGCTGGCTAGTGACAGGCTGAGTGTAATGGCTGGCTAGTGACAGGCTGAGTGTAATGGCTGGCTAGTGACAGGCTGAGTGTAATGGCTGGCTAGTTACAGGCTGAGTGTAATGGCTGGCTAGTGACAGGCTGAGTGTAATGGCTGGCTAGTGACAGGCTGAGTGTAATGGCTGGCTAGTGACAGGCTGAGTGTAATGGCTGGCTAGTGACAGGCTGGGTGTAATGGCTGGCTAGTGACAGGCTGAGTGTAATGGCTGGCTAGTGACAGGCTGAGTGTAATGGCTGGCTAGTGACAGGCTGAGTGTAATGGCTGGCTAGTGACAGGCTGAGTGTAATGGCTGGCTAGTGACAGGCTGAGTGTAATGGCTGGCTAGTGACAGGCTGAGTGTAATGGCTGGCTAGTGACAGGCTGAGTGTAATGGCTGGCTAGTGACAGGCTGAGTGTAATGGCTGGCTAGTGACAGGCTGAGTGTAATGGCTGGCTAGTGACAGGCTGAGTGTAATGGCTGGCTAGTGACAGGCTGAGTGTAATGGCTGGCTAGTGACAGGCTGGGTGTAATGGCTGGCTAGTGACAGGCTGGGTGTAATGGCTGGCTAGTGACAGGCTGAGTGTAATGCATGGTTGAAGTGATGGTATTGAATGGGAGTGTAATGGCTGGCTAGTGATGTGCCGAGCAAACACGGACAGGCTGGAGTGCAATGGCTAGTGACAGGCTGAGTGTAATGGCTGGCTAGTAACATGCTGAGTGTAATGGCTGGCTAGTGACAGGCTGAGTGTAATGGCTGGCTAGTGACAGACTGAGTGTAATGGCTGGCTAGTGACAGGCTGAGTGTAATGGCTGGCTAGTGACAGGCTGAGTGTAATGGCTGGCTAGTGACAGGCTGAGTGTAATGGCTGGCTAGTGACATGCTGAGTGTAATGGCTGGCTAGTGACAGGCTGAGTGTAATGGCTGGCTAGTGACAGGCTGAGTGTAATGGCTGGCTATTGACAGGCTGAGTGTAATGGCTGGCTAGTGACATGCTGAGTGTAATGGCTGGCTAGTGACATGCTGAGTGTAATGGCTGGCTAGGTGACATGCTGAGCCGCATCACGCCCATGCGACAGGGCTGAGTGTAAATGGCTAGTGACAGGCTGAGTGTAATGGCTGGCTGAAGTGACAGGCTGGAGTGTAATGGCTGGCTAGGTGACATGCTGAGTGTAATGGCTGGCTAAAGTGACAGGCTGAGTGTAATGGCAGTGACAGGCTGAGTGTAATGGCTGCCGCTTGACAGGCTGAGCTCCAATGGCTGGCTAGGCGACTGGCTGAGTGTAATGCAGCTTCTGGTGACATGCTGGAGGTAATGGCTGGCTAGTGGACAGGCTGAGTGTGTACTTTTGGCTGGCTAGTAACAGGCTGAGTGTAATGGCTGTCTAGTGACAGGCTGAGTGTAATGGCTGTCTAGTGACAGGCTGAGTGTAATGGCTGGCTAGTGACAGGCTGAGTGTAATGGCTGGCTAGTGACAGGCTGAGTGTAATGGCTGGCTAGTGACAGGCTGAGTGTAATGGCTGGCTAGTGACAGGCTGAGTGTAATGGCTGGCTAGTGACAGGCTGAGTGTAATGGCTGGCTAGTGACAGGCTGGGTGTAATGGCTGGCTAGTGACAGGCTGAGTGTAATGGCTGGCTAGTGACAGGCTGAGTGTAATGGCTGGCTAGTGACAGGCTGAGTGTAATGGCTGGCTAGTGACAGGCTGAGTGTAATGGCTGGCTAGTGACAGGCTGAGTGTAATGGCTGGCTAGTGACAGGCTGAGTGTAATGGCTGGCTAGTGACAGGCTGAGTGTAATGGCTGGCTAGTGACAGGCTGAGTGTAATGGCTGGCTAGTGACAGGCTGAGTGTAATGGCTGGCTAGTAACAGGCAGAGTGTAATGGCTGGCTAGTGACTGGCTGAGTGTAATGGCTGGCTAGTAACATGCTGAGTGTAATGGCTGGCTAGTGACAGGCTGAGTCTAATGGCTGGCTAGTGACAGGCTGAGTGTAATGGCTGGCTAGTGACAGGCTGGGTGTAATGGCTGGCTAGTAACAGACAGAGTCTAATGGCTGGCTAGTGACAGGCGGGTGTAATGGCTGGCTAGTTAACAGTCTGAGTGTATTGGCTGGCTAGTGACAGGCTGAGTGTAATGGCTGGCTAGTGACAGCCTGAGTGTGATGGCTAGTGACAGGCTGAGTGTAATGGCTGGCTAGTGACAGGCTGAGTCTAATGGCTGGCTAGTGACTGGCTGAGTGTAATGGCTGGCTAGTGACAGGCTGAGTGTAATGGCTGGCTAGTGACAGGCTGAGTGTAATGGCTGGCTAGTGACAGGCTGAGTGTAATGGCTGGCTAGTGACAGGCTGAGTGTAATGGCTGGCTAGTGACAGGCTGAGTGTAATGGCTGGCTAGTGACAGGCTGAGTGTAATGGCTGGCTAGTGACAGGCTGAGTGTAATGGCTGGCTAGTGACAGGCTGAGTGTAATGGCTGGCTAGTGACAGGCTGAGTGTAATGGCTGGCTAGTGACAGGCTGAGTGTAATGGCTGGCTAGTGACAGGCTGAGTGTAATGGCTGGCTAGTGACAGGCTGAGTGTAATGGCTGGCTAGTGACAGGCTGAGTCTAATGGCTGGCTAGTGACAGGCTGAGTCTAATGGCTGGCTAGTGACATGCACAGGCTCTGTCTAATGGTTGGCTGGTAACATGCACAGGCTCTCTCTAATGATTGGCTGGTAACATGCACAGGCTCTGTCTAATAGCTAGTAAGGCCCACAATGCAGCAGGTAGCTGGAGAAAATTAACAAAACAAAGTACAGATAGGGAATGAGCAGAGGCGTTGTTGGAAAAGCCAAAGGTTGGGCAGTACAAATTTAGAAACGATAAGACAAGCAGAGTGTCGAATATCCGATGATGCAGGTTAAGTAAAACAGTACAGTATCCACAGTACAGTATCCACAGTACAACTTAGCAAAGAGGGCTAGGAGACAGGCTGTTATATATGTGAGAAGGGACACGCCCCCTCATGTCATCCCTGGATTCCTGACACTCCTCCATTCTTCATACTTTCAGTAATATAATTGTGTTTTGAGTGAACAATGTCAGTGTGTACTTATTGTAGAATCTATGTGTGCATTGTCAGTACTCCTGTATGTGCACAACTGTGTGTATATGTCTGTATGTGTTATGTTAATGTTCCTGAGTCCGTGTCCTATGTCAGTACGTCTGTCTGTGCTAATTCCTCTGTGTGTTCAATGTCTGTATCTTGTTGTTCCTGTGTGTGTTTATATTGCTGTTAATGTGTGTGTGTGCAATGCCAATATGTTGTACATTACTACAACCCTTTTTAATCAAACCCTCAGTTTATTCTCCCTAACCCACTTCCCCAGATATTTCTTCCAACTAGCTCACCAAACCCATCCAGTTAAAGGATTAGTTCAACACTTTATTGTAATTTTCTTTATTTAGAATGCCCTGTTGAGCATTAGTAATTAGGTACCATCGCCTTTTTAGAGTCAAGTAAAAACACACAAAAAAAAAAAACAAATAATTTTTGAACTTACCTTGAATCCAACGCTGGGCGAAGCTTCCCATTTAGGTTTCTTCCTTCGCAAGGTCCAATCAAATGCTTCTTTTAAAGGCATTTGATTGGGCCATACTCACTGGCTCAGAACACATGCATATGCTAGGTGAAAGGAAGGAGTAGGGATAGACAAGGGACGGTATATATAAAAAGTAAATATAGTGAGGGAGAGAAGATCTAGGCTTCCCCTTGTAGGAGCGCTCCCTGCGCCTGCAAGGATTGAAGCTCATTTCTTGTGTCGCCAGTTTGCTGACGTCAGATGTAATTCTTTGAGCCTTTGCATTTTAAAGTGATCTATTTCTATTTTTGCATAATGGAAAATGTGTAAATGTAATAAATATAGGATATTTAGGATTTTGAAGTTTTAGTGGTTAGTAGGTAGTGGGGAATTTATTAAATGCAAACTGTAGGTAGTTAAGGGCTCATGAATACAACCATAAAAAATACATCATCTTGTAATTTAGTTAGATGGATAAGCATACATAATTAGAATCAGATGGAAAATGTTAACATTGAGATTAATGGTAACATAGTCGCATGAAAAGTGGCAGTGTTTCTTGCAAAAAAATCTTGTATTTTTTTTTTAAACCTTTCTTCTTAGTGTATGCGTTTGTGTGAATTATGGTTTTTTTTTGTTTTTTTTAAGTGGTGTGCTACTAAAATGATCATATAAGACTTGAGCCCAGGTAAGCAAGTGGTTTAAATTCCATGTCTAGAAGCTTTAATGCAAATATCTCAAATTTGAGCAAGACCCTTAAAGGAACACTATAGGCACCCAGACCACTTCAGCTTAATGAAGTGGTCTGGGTGCCAGGTCCAGCTAGGATTAACCCTTTCTTCTATAAACATAGCAGTTTCGCAGAAACTGCTATGTTTATAATAGGGTTAATCCAGCCTCTAGTGGCTGTCTCATTGACAGCAGCTAGAGGCGCTTCCGCGCTTCTCACTGTGATTTTCACAGTGAGAAGACGCCAGCGTCCATAGGAAAGCATTGAGAATGCTTTCCTATGGACTGGCTGAATGCGCGCGTGGCTCCTGCTGCGCATGCGCATTCAGCCGATGACGGCGATATGGAGGAGGAGAGTTCCCCCGCCCGGCGCTGGTAAAAGAGGTAAACCCCCTAGAGTCCGGCTGGAGGGGGGCCCTGCACTATAGTGCCAGGAAAACGAGTATGTTTTCCTGGCACTATAGTGGTCCTTTAAATCTTGAATGCCAAGCAGGCCATGACGAAGTGAAGTTTTGAAAACTGTTCCAAATCTGGCTCCTTTAATGAATTTGTGGGTGTATTTAACAGTGTGTTTATTTTCCATTAGAGTGAAACACACTCATAATTGGCATGTAATTTACAAAAAATATGTGAAAACCAATATATCAACATATGATATATTTTCTAAATTAGGACAAATAAATATATATATTAAAAAAAATGGTATTCCTCTTTAGACATGCAATTATTGTTTCTGCATTATCCTTGGCATGGGTTGTTTTTTTTATTTTATTTTTTGTTTTTTTATTTTATTATTTGAAGAAAAGATGGATGCTCAGTACAAATACATAAATATTGCAGATTATGAATGTCCACAATCAAAAGGAGCATCAATAACCATAAGACATTGGAAATTTGAGAGTATGTTGTATCATCACATATTACAATGAACTTTAACATTTATGACGTTTAAGGTTTTGCTTTTTAAATTTTGTAATTTTTTTTGTACCGAATTATGGTGGCATTTATAAATGTGCCCTTTAAAATGTATATAATGTATTTGCTAGAGCAAGTCACAATTGAACAACCCATACCAGGCACCAGATTTTAAATCCAATAAGCCAGGTATGGACAAGTTGTCAACATGTATTATCATGAATGCATTATCAGGATAATAGTGATTGTACACTGATTATCACACACAGAGGATAGAGACCTGACCTTGTATAACTAATTGCATAGCTTGCTCTCTGCTCTCAGTGTAAACAGGTAATTTTACACCTTTGTCTGCATTGCAGTCTCCAGGCATTTTGTGCTGTGTCCTAAAAGCATTTCTCAGCAGTTTGGTGCCCAAGCTTCTTGTGGGGCCATGTTTCTGTATACACTGCAGCAGGTTGTCCAGTGACTACCTGGAAATTATTTCCAAAAGCGTATGTATTGGTACGTATTCTCAATACGCAGAACATATTTTGAATTACAGGGGTGTGTACATTATTTTTTTTCTTTATTTCTTTTTTTCTTTTTTTTTTTTCAATTCAATCTACTTAAAGGACCACTCTAGGCACCCAGACCACTTCAGCTTAATGAAGTGGTCTGGGTGCCAGGTCCAGCTAGGCTTAACCCATTTTTTCATAATTATAGCAGTTTCAGAGAAACTGCTATAATTATGAATGGGTTAAGCCTTCCCCCTAATCCTCTAGTGGCTGTCTCATTGACAGCCACTAGAGGCGCTTGCGTGCTTCTCACTGTGATTTTCACAGTGAGAGCACGCAAGCGTCCATAGGAAAGCATTGTAAATGCTTTCCTATGAGACGGGCTGAATGCGCGCGCAGCTCTTGCCGCGCGTGCGCATTCAGCCGGGGGGAATGGAGGAGGAGAGAAGGAGGAGAGCTCTCCGCCCAGCGCTGGAAAAAGGTAAGTTTTTACCCCTTTCCCCTTCCAGAGCCGGGCGGGAGGGGGTCCCTGAGGGTGGGGGCACCCTCAGGGCACTATAGTGCCAGGAAAACGAGTATGTTTTCCTGGCACTATAGTGGTCCTTTAAGTGACTAAAGTAGTAGTCCAGTCTACTTGTTCCTCATAACAATCTATTTGTCCTGACATAAAAATGTTTAAATTAAAAATATTGGGCTCTTTGGAGGGAGGAGGGGTATGTGGAGTGTATTAGATTGGATTTGGGGGCAGTGTGTGTTAGATTGGGTCTGCATGGAGGCCGTGAACACTCCCCATGGAGATGCTGATTGGCTGCGCAGGTTTTTGCCACACATGCACAATAGCCTCCCAATGCTTTCCTGTGGAAAAGCATTGGATTGGCTGAGATCATTAAGTTTGATGATCTCAGTCAAACTGCAGAACATACTCAAAGGACTTCAAAATCAACAAGATAACGTCATTTGTTTTTTTACAGCTGTGCAATAGCATACATTCACCATTTCAGTCCCATTTACCAAATATTTCTTAATATGTCAATGTAGTTGGACTGAAACATTGGTTATATGCTAATGCATTTCTCCTTAAAACAAATTTGTACTTTTGTTTACTTTGAAACTTTTTTCTTTTTTTATACGGTACTTTTCTAAATAAAGTTTTTTTTGCGGCCCACATAAACTTAAACCTTGTTTATTTAGCCCGCGTTAGCCTTTAGTTGGACATGCTTTTAGTACATATTGTTACACTCTAACAGTAAAGTGAAAAAAAAAGAAGAAATGTATGTAAAAATTGAGATTAGCTCATTGATATGGGATCCTTTTTCAATTTGGCTATAGCCACTACTTAGCTATTTTAGCCACAGTTTTGCCATTTGAATTTAAGTTCCCTGCAATTTAAAGTTTTACTGTCACTCTGCCATGGAAGGGTTTTTGTTTATGCTTTATACTGCTTGGTTATGTTTTGGCAATTGTTCAATAAAGGTCCTTTTAAAACACAATTAATGTTACCATATGTTTATTTTAGTGCATCCTATAGTTGGATTAGACTTGAAATGTTCTTCCTGTGTAAATGTATGGAACTGCACCATTTTGAATTATTTATAGGGACACAAAGAGTTAACAGCTCCATGCTGGGCCGGACTGGGGACAAAATTTGACGTGTGTGTGTGTGTGTGTGAGTATATATATTTGGAGGGATTGTGTGTTGGGGGGAGGCAGATTTAAAAAAAACAAAAAACCACCGTGCTGCAGTCCCTGGTGGTGAGTGAACTCTAGCCTTGCAACGCTCCGAATCTCGCGAGAGGAACCCGGCGGATTTGGGGGCAGTGTGTGTTAGATTGGGTCTGCATGGAGGCCGTGAACACTCCCCATGGAGATGCTGATTGGCTGCGCAGGTTTTTGCCACACATGCACAATAGCCTCCCAATGCTCTGCAAGATAGAGCTCCTCCAGGTCCTCTCCTGGCTCCATGTCAAACTATGTTCCATGGTGAGTAAACCCTACAGAAGAGAATAACGTTTACACTAATGGTAATATTTTGTAGTATAATCAGATGCTGAAACACTTTGCAATCTGGTTGAACTGTGCTTACTAATAACAAGTCTAAAGTGCATACTTTATGCCCCAGGTAGATTGTAAGTAAACTGCATTTACAAAACACCATTATGATTGCTCTTCAGATATTGCTAAAGAGGCAATTCACTACATTAGGGATTTGATTATATTTATAAAGTCCTAGTGGTATAGCTTTATTGGCTATTATTAATGGGATCTGTTTTGTATACTGTAATGGATAAAAGATTAAGTTTTCACTGAGTTAACTGAAGTTCTGTAATATACATTAACTGATATTCTGTATTTCGATGCACCATGTCTGTGCATAGATCATGCCTGTGCAGTCTCATTGCTCAATTCACTGCAATTTAGGAGTTAAATCACTTTGTTTATACAGTGCTAGTTACATCTCCCTGCATGTGATTTGCACAGCCTTCCTAAACACTTCCTGTAAAGAGACATCTAATGTTTATCCTTTATTGCACAGTCTGTTTAATTTCGAATTTCTTATCTCCTGCTCTGTTAATAGCCTTCTAGACCCTACAGGAGCTTAAAGTTAAATTTAATTCAAGTTTACATCTGATTTTAAAATGAAGTTATTATTTTTCATGCAGGCTGTGTGAGTCACAGCCAGGGGAGGTGGTGCTGGGGCTGCATCACAGAAACAAGAGCTATAACCCCTTTAAAAGGACACTGTAGTCACCAGAATAACTACTGCATAATGTTGATGTCCTGGTGTCTACTGCCTGTCTCTGTAGGCTTTTAAATGTAAACAGCCATTTCAGAGAAAAGGCATTATTTACATTACCGTCTAAGAACACCTGTAGCGGCTATTCCTCAGATGGCTGCTAGAGGTGCTTCCTGTGTCACTGCTCTGCATAGAGGCACTGAACGTTCCCCTATAGAGATGCATTGAATCAATGCATCTCCATGAGGAGATGCTGATTGGCACAGTGCAGTGTTTTGTCACACATGCCCAATAGCCTCCCAATGCTTTTCTATGGGATTGGCTAAATGAATCATATCTGATGTCAGCCAAGGAGGCGGATTGTTGGCGGGTCTGGAAAAAGGTGACTAAATCACCTTTCTAAACCGAGGTAAGGAGGGCCGACCACCTAAACAGTGGTTTTAGAATTATTGTGTCAGGAAAACACTTTTGAGTTCCTGACACTATATAGTGCCACTTTCATGGCAGAGAATTGAGCAGTGAGACTGCAGTGGCACCAAAACTGCTTTATTAAGCCAAAGTTTATTTGGTGACTATAAGGTCCCTTTAAATGGCTATAAGGAGTACACTTGCATGTTTATAATTTGACGAAAAAGCCGCATACTTTGCCTCATGTAATACTTGCAAAGAGTGCAGAAAAATCACTCTTATTTAGCTTGTTGAAAAATACCAGTGCATACCAAAATGACCTTTGAAAGATTTAAAGAAATACTCAACATGCATCTCATTGCCTTACCAACAGCTTCATCAGGGACAAGGCTAATATACACTTGCGTTTAATAAAAGCAGACCCAGTGTAAATAACTCTAGGATAAATGCTTAGGCTGCACGATGAAATGAACATCAGGATAGAAAAGATTTAAAAGGGCTTTTTTTTCTAGGCCACATTAAAGGGAAACAGGTTAATAAAACCTAGTCAAAGGACAAGATCGCATTGCACTAAGGATCTGGGGAAAAAAAGAGGAATTATCTTCCAGGGAATTTGCTAATATTTCAGGGAGAGGCTAACGGTCATCGCGTGGTAAGATACATATTTAAGGCATAGTCCAGAAAGCACTGGCTGCTGAACTCTGGGATTATTTGGAGAGGCAAAAGGCCTAAAATCAATAAAAAAATAGATTAATCTTGCATAAACCTTTTAAGCACTTAGAGAATTATTTATTCATACCAGAGAATGGTATGAATAAATAATATGACCGCGTCAATGTGAATTGCTTCAGTTTTGCATTCTATGTCAAACACACACTTTCTGAGATAATAAAATGGTGGAAAATGGGTTTTCTGAAAGGTTTTTCTTCAGGGCATGTGTTTAAGTTCCATATGCTACATTATTTGTGAAATTAAATGGTGTCCTGCTTTAGGAGGATAGGATGCTATTTGGGTATTGTGTGAGTTCATCTGAGGAGTGGTTTCAAGCGATGCAGGAAAGGTCAAGGATATATCCTTAGTCAGTGTATATCTATTAATATGTTACAGTTATAGGTGTCTGAAGACCTCCGTTAAAGGAATACTATAAGTGCCAGGAATATAAAGCTGTATTACTGGCACTATAGCTCCCTATGCCTCCCCCCACCGGCATAGATAAAGGGTAAAAAAAAATTATTTGCTTACCTTTACCCAGCGCTGATGTCCCTTGGTGCTGGGCTGTGCTCTGACAGCCCGCGACAAGCGGTGCTAATGTGCATGCGGGGTAAATGCCACGTGCATTAGACCTCTCCATAGGAAAACATTGAATCAATGCTTTCCTGTAGAGAAAAACCTGACGTTGGATGTCCTCATGCAGAGTGTGAGGACGTCCAGCGTACGATACCGGACCAAAGGTCTGTTTCGATTCAAGAAACTCTCTAGTGGATGTCTGGTAGACAGCCACTGTGGACAGACTTAGAGCTGCAATGTAAAAATTGCAGTTTCTCTGGAACTGCAATGTTTAACATTGCTGCACTAAGGGCAATAGGGGCACTGAACCCAGACCACTTCAATTAGCTGAAGTGGTCTGGGTGCCTACATGGTCCATCTAAGCTATTTTGACCTACATTTTTAAATTCACTTTGAATTCTAAATTTAGTAAATCACTCTGTCAGAAATGGTTATGAAGGCAGATATCCATGATGGATAACTAGTTGTGTCCAACGTTTCAAATGGAGAAATAGGGACACTTTCATGATAGGCGTGTGGGCAGGGCTTTTGAAAGTAATTTTTGATAACTTGCTATCTATTTTGAGCTGCTTGACAAAAATAAAGGTCCCCTGGACACTGGTGTTTCAGGCCCTTGCTTGCATTATTGCTAATGCAGAGATTACATATCCCCATTAGCTCAAGCAGTTCATTACTTTAGAGTTGTATGTTCTTACATATCGTTCATATGGCTGTATATATTCACATTTGCAAAATGTGCACTGTCTATTTACACTCAGAACATGTTGCTGCCTTAAAGAGGAACTGGGTGTGTTGTTCCTCAGTATCTCTTGTCAGCTTCTAATTGCTGGTATAACCATAAACGATAGTTCAATTAAATAAATCTTATTTTCCTGGTGTGCTGACATTTCCATATTTATTGCATGCCATGTCTTGTTTTATTAAATTCCTGTCGTTGTGCATGCCAGTAGCATTAAGCATAGATTCACCTCAAACCTGCTTTTATTGTATCTGGTTTTTTTTTTTTCTTTTCTTTGTGCTTATATATCCTCAGGCACATGCTTTATTTAAAGTTAACTGACACCTTTGGAAGTTTGGAACACATTGTTTATGTATTAAAAAAAAAAAATTAAAAAAAAAATACCAGGTCAGCTTTTGTGTACTTTTTTGTTGATTATATCTGAAAACTCAGTAGTTCCTTGCAGAGAGGCTTAATCGGAAGGAAGGTTTTGCAGTCCATCCATTATGTTCCTAAAGAAAAGCTTAGGTGTTCCCTAAACTGCTGAGTTGTATAGTTTTTTCAACTTGAATATTTAGCCCACTCTCCACCAGGTTAGTTAATAGATCTATATCTAGCTGTGAATAAACTGGCTGGAAAATCTACTGTCCAGAACCTGTGTGAGGGCAGGGTTGCTGATGATCAAGCTATAGGTCTTGTTTAGAACAGTCCAGAGTGTAGTATTGAAGTCTTTTCTGCTGAGTTCAGCTGTCACGCTGTACAGAAATGGTTCATTTCAGCTCACATTTACAAATAACTCCAAACTCTGCATACTATGACTAGTGAAACTGTCTAGCATCTTGCCCCAAGTAATCTTTATGGGTTTCTATCCTAGTAATTAGTTATGTGCAGGTATGTTTTCTTATACCATTCTATTTCTGATGGTAGGAACAACTTACTGTACATATAAATAAATGGCCTTTTGTACGTTTTCTAGTAAGAGGTTTTTCTAGGTGTATGTATGCAAATGTATATTCCTAACACTAGTCCTTGTTTAGATGACCAGGCCTACACTGCCAGGGTTAAAAAAAAAAATTAAATTAAAAAAAAAAAAGTTAACTTTTCTATACTCCGTCACAGTGCTTGTCTCTGGTGTGTAGCTCCGCCTCTTTGGCTGAAATTATCAAAATTAATGATCTCACAGTGCTATGGAATTTGCTGGTGCTATATAAATAATCTAATAATAATCATAATCTAAGACAATCCAATGCTTTTCCATAGAAAAGCATTGAAAGACTAGTGTGCATGCGCTGCAAAATGCCATGCTGTGCCAATCAGATGGTCCGTAAATAGCAGAGTTCTACTCCATTTCATGGAAGCGCCACACTTGGCTGTCATATTCACTGCTACTCAAGGCAGGTTAACCATGCAAAGAAAATATTGTCATTACTGCAGAATACAAATACAGAAAGATAAGTCCTGCGCTCACTCCCATCACTCCTGGGCGGCAGCAACGACTACAGTACACATCAGCCCTAATATATATAGTAAAAACTAAAGAAAAACAAGTTACCTTCGCTCTCTCCTTAATCCCTATGTATATTTAAACAAATGGAGGTCATTTAGTTACTCTGTTCTAGATGATTTACTGCAAACCAATTAGTTTGAATGACTATCTGTTCCTGTCCAAATTAAAGATAATAAAGTTGCGTGCACGCAGAAGTAAATTCACACTGAGACACAAGGTTCAGGGTAATGAAAGAACTTCAGAGAAGTTTAATGGCTTCTGACAGAAAATGGGTGCGCAGACCCTTATAAAGGCATTATTACATCATTGAAGAAAATCAAGATATAGACAAATAGACATTGTTAATTGGCTTAGGTGCTAAGATGTTAGTAAAATGCCCTCCCCATTCTTAGGTCACTATCTACGTAATTTCTTAACTCCTACAGGTTTTAGCGCCATCTTGCTAAAATGAGGAGCTCACTCGACGGGAGGGGCCTTTTGGCAGCTATCCATTTGGAGCGTAGCTGGCACTTGTTAGTTTCTCAAGGTTAAGTTTCAAGGATTTTAGTAAATACACATTTTATCAAAGCTATTTCTTGCTGACATGCAAATTCTATGTTCTATAGACAAAGCTTCCTTGTAAAACTATGGGGGCCTCTTAGAGGTATAGCAAGAGGATTTAAAGGGGCCTTACAAATTTATAGAGGCCTAATAATTCTACAACAGTCCCCCCTAAAATGTTATTTGCTAAAAGACAAAACTTTATTTGTTAGTATCAGAAGAAGTATTAGCCCAAAGACACAGAAACCCCATGACCGCTGACTTAGTGTTAATGCAAAGTGCAAGTCTATCCCTCTCTTGACCCTAACAGGCTGCAGCACATCCGTCAGTACGGTTCAGGAACACTCTTCACTCCGCTGGTAACCCATAGTGGCTTATCCACTACTTCTCCGTACGGCAGTCTACCCATAAAGACGGACGCTGTCCCTGTACTGTCCCTTCCTAGACTTTCTGCACTTCATCAGTATAAGGGAGAGTTTGTAGCGGAATACAGGGTGAGATGAGGTCTTGATCATCGATTGTCAGATGAGTGAAGGTTGGTGTTGCTTGGTCTACAGTTTTCTGCAGGAATTTCCTTAGGCATGGGAGGACACAACAAATGAGAAGAGCGAGAATAAAAAGAAAAATTAGTAAGGCAATACCAATCTGGACTAAAGCTCTCTGCCAACCAGTCATCCAACCAAACCATTTTTCCCAGGGATCAGTAACTCCAGAGTTTCTCTTTAACTCTTCTGAGAGTCTATTTAATTTAGCTATGGCCAGAGTGACTTTACCATTAGGACCTGTGTTTTCTGGAATGTAAGTGCAACAAGTCATAGTGTCGGGAAGTATTTTACAGACCCCCCCTTTTTCGGCTAAGATCATGTCTAAGGCCAGTCTGTTCTGGAAGGTCATTTGGGATGTGGCCTGTAATTGCTCGGCCAAGCCCTGGAGGGCATCCCTGGTGTAGTTCACGAAGCGCTGTTGGTTGTAATAGATTTAATTAATCCAATTAAGGTTTTTGTTGGCAGTGACTATGGTAAAAAGTGATTCAAAACCTACAGCTACTTCATCTCTAGCTTTAAATTCATTGGGTACCCCCCTAGGCACCCCAATGGCATCTATGTAAATGTGGGGGTCAAAACTGCCTTTTACTGGGGTTTCGCGCCTTACTCTGGCTGATGTATGTGGAGGGTCGTATGTGTCATGATGATTATCAGAAATAATATGAATGGGCATGATAACTTTGGCCAGGGTACACTCACCCCACCACTCAGTTTCCAGCCTAGATCTTAACTGTAGATCCCCACATAACCAGTAAATATCCCCCAATGACCTGGTATGGTGTTGCAACAGGCGTATAGGAACAGTTCTGTAAGTGGCGCAATAACCTTTAGAAAAGTTACCCATGAATTTACCAATCCCGTCATACATGGCATAACAAGTGTAATTACCTCTATAGACTGTGACTCCATCTGGTGGCTTAACATTTTCAACTAAGAGAGGGTATTCTGCCGTCCATGCCATGCAGAGGGACCTATTAAAGTCATATTGGTAGGCAAAAAGGCTTAAGAAGCAATCTTCTATCTCTAAAGGGAGAGTTAGGGGGACGGTGCCAAGGTGGGGTCGGGCACCGCCACATACATAACATGCTGTTTTATTATGTTTGTTAGCATTATACCTCATCCATTCTAACCACAAATTAATGTCATTGAATCCAGTTTCAGCGGCCATGGTATCTTCAAAAGTGGGGTTAGCGATGACCATCATATCTTTAAAGGACTGGATATGTGGTTTTAGCGGATTTGGGACCATATGATCAGCCCCTTGCCACTCTGGAGAGTGGTACATATCTCTGAGGTAGAAATGACCTAATTTGTTTTAGGAACCTTTCTTCCAATACATTCCCATTACATATCGGTCTGCATCCTCGGGGCCAGGATGTTCAATATTTAACATTAATTTCATAGGGGTACTTCCTCCAGGCTTTCTTAAAGTCATTCTTTGAAGGAGGGATCTACCCTGATTGTCTATCTTAGATAAAGCACTTTTGGGTTTATAACCCCAGGCAGGCCCAGTATTCCATCCCGCAGCCCCCCAGTAGTTACAGTCATAACCCCATTGTTCATCTACTACACAAACGTAAGGGTCTTTTGCTTGTGGTATATCTTTATAAATGGCTTGAATCTGTGACTTAGGGAATGGGCACTCTACAATATCACAGTAATCAAAAGTGAATGTAGCCACATGGGTACATGATGAATTATACCAGAAAGTGTACCCACTAGCATCTTTGGTGATGGCCACCTGCTGGGCTTTAAGGAGGCCAACTAAGGAGATAATGTACCAGAGGCACATGGTTGCATAGAGTTAGCTTCCTCTGGGGCAGGTGTCTTCTTGCAATGGGAAGCGTGGATCCAGTTAGGCCTTCCGGCCAATTTGACAGAGGTAGGGGAGATCAGGAGAACTTGGAACGGTCCGTCAAATCTTGGTTCCAGGGTGTGTTTTCGCACAAATTTCTTGACCAGAACCCAGTCACCGGGGAGCAGACTGTGGTTGCCTGTGTCAGAATCAGGATCTGGAATTTTAGAGAAAACTTGGACATGGATTTTGTTCAAAGCATTTGCGAGTTCAGTTACATAATCTACTAAAACATCAGTTTGAAGTTGTAGTTGTTGGGGAAAATAGCAACCTAGCCTAGGTGCAGTCCCAAATAGAATCTCATATGGGGACAGTGAGGTAGCATTTTGTACAAGAGCATTCATTAGATCCTTTGATAAATGTGCAGGTCCGTGTGCCCATTGTACGACTGCTGGGTACAAATTCTTAGGGAGGCAGAAATTGAGGTTGTTGGAGTACACTCCATCCTTCAGAACTGCCCCTTTCTGTTTCCACTTCTGTATTTCTTCAGGGGCAACTGTAGCCTGTTGTTCCAGCAGGATTTTCAGGTCAGTTGGAAGAGTCTGCAGAGTAAATATGGGAGTTTCTTCATTTCCGGACACTCTTCTTTCCACTTCCTGTGGTTCTTTTGCAGCTTGTTTTGCAGCCTGATCAGCTAGATGGTTGCCCTTTGCTTCATCTGAGTCCAACTTCCCATGTGCTTTTATCTTTAAAATAGCCACTTCTTCTGGGAGTGGGAGGGCGTCCATCAGCTCCTTGATTGCGGAACCGTGCTTGACTGGTGTACCGGCGGTGGTAAGAAATCCTCTTGTTTTCCAAATTAATCCGAAGTCGTGAGCCACGCCCAGTGCATATCTTGAATCCGTGTAGATATTGGCGCGCTTTCCTTCAGAGATCTTGCATGCTGAAGTCAGGGCTTGCAATTCAGCTTCTTGTGCAGACATAGTTGATGGTAAAGATGATGATTTGACAATTTCATCTGTTGTGGTTACGGCATATCCTGTATGGTATCTTCCTTCTTCATCAGCATATCTTGAGCCGTCCACAAACAGGGTGAGATCGGGATCTACCAATAGGTCTTCATGCACAGTTGGTAGATGTGTTGTTTCCATTTTCATCTGTTCAAAACAGTCATGAGGTGTATCTGGGTCGTATTCATTTACTATGGTTAAATCTTGGAACTCATTTTCCAGGAAATGATGTGGCCATGCTTTTAGGTGGTCAGTTGTTGGATATTTGACAACACCATTTTCCTGTAGCTGTGATTCGTCTATAGTGGCCCATACTTTTGCCATAGGCCCAAGATCATTCCATGATATTGTTTTCAACTTGGTCACAGGGACATGTGGAATGGCAGTGTCCCAATGACGGTACAAATGCTTGAGTTCCGGAGGTAGATGAATCAAGACCATACTGTTGCCTTCAGAATCACAGTAGAAGTCTTGTGCAGTGAGTTTTACTTCGACCAGATTATAGAGTTCATCTTCATAGCAGGGTTCAGGAGTGATGTTTGGTTTGTACCACATGGTACAGAAGGCATATCCTGCTCCGTCATGAAGGAGTGCTTGTCCATCATGAAAGGATAGGTTGGGATGCATTTCCTTCTTGATGGTGCCAGTGAGAAGAAAAACATAAGTTTCGTCCATGATGAATCCGTAGTATACACCCCCCTCAGGGAGTGGCAGAAGAGTGGACGGATTGAGAACTTGACATCTTTGGAGGGTAATGTTGTCAGGCAACAAAAGATGACATTGAAGGCGAAGATGCCTAGCAGGAGTAACATGCTTAAGTTGGACCTGGTTGACTATGGCAGAAATGTCATGAGGGGCCAAGACAACCAGGGGGTGGCCAAGGACAAGATCCCCAGTTCTTTCAATGAGCTCTCTGGCAGCAAAGACGGCCCGAAGGCAAGAGGGACGTCCTCTGGCCACAATATCCAGTTGGCAGGAGAAAAATCCAATAGGCCTTTGGCGGCCTCCAGGACCATGGGCCTGAGTGAGTACTCCTGTTGCATGGCCTTGTCTTTCAGAAACAAACAGTTTGAAGGGTTTGGTATAGTCTGGTAGGCCAAGAGCAGGAGCAGAAGCAATAGCACTTTTGAGAGAACAGAAGTTGTCAAGGGCTTCTGTGGACAAGCAAAATGGGTCTGACTTGAGAGCATCATAAAGAGGTTGCATAAGGAGCGAGGCTTCTGGGATCCATGCTCGGCAATAGGAAATGAGGCCTAGGAAGGCGTGTAGTGACTTTGAGATCCTTGGAGGTGGAATGTCCAGTACTGCTCTAACTCGGTCACGAGTGAGATGTCTGGTTCCCTGAGACAGACAATGGCCAAGGAAGATAACAGTAGATTGGCAATATTGCAGCTTGGGACGTGAAGCTTTACATCCTTGTTCTGCTAGGTAGCAAAGAAGATTAATTGAGCATTGTTCTGTTGTGGGTAGATCATCTCCACAGTAAAATGGGAAGGGAACAAAGAACTGTAGTGTCTTTTCGTGGCAAAGGCGTATTTAATTGAACCTGGCCGTCTGCAGTGAGGGTGATGGATGCTTGGAGGCAGGATAGGACATCAGCACCAACACAAGAGACATCGGTGTCAGGCAGGAACGATGAGTCAGGCAGGTCTTGTTCTCTAGGAACACTGCGGGATGCACCTGTGTTAACCAGGAAACCAGGAAAGCAGTAGGGTGACCTTCAATAGGTAAAGTTACAGTGGCTAGTGGCCCCCCTTGTTCCCTGTAGACACTGCCATGGCAGGGGCATTAAGCATCAGCGGGTTTGCTCTCCTCTGTATGGGCTGTGTTACTGACTCAAACCCCTTTCTATGTCATTAGCCATAGCTTTTTGCAGTCTGAACATGTCTATCATTATAAATAATGGTTAATAGTAAGTTAAGTAAAGTTCCTATATGTCTTTGGATAAAACATTAACTATTGCGGTACTATCATTTATATTAATTAGACTATAACAATTATACCACCCTGTAACTAAGTAAACAACCAGTAGTGGCTGGGTTAATAAAACATGCCACAAACCCTTCTAATGCTAAACCATCATTTAAAGTAAAGGATGTTACTGTAAACCTACGATCTGTAACTAGCAAGATTCGATTAAGCAAAGATACAATGTTTAAAATAACTTGCATTATTTGGCTATTTCCCTTGTTGCAAGATTAATCTGGATAATCAGCTGTTATGCTCTTATATTCGTGTCCAACAGATTTCATATGTAGGTCACACCACATTTGCAAATTACATTTTAGCAACCTTCTTTTTTTTTTTTTTTATATCACGGACAAATTGTTGATACAGGGAAACAAATGGCATGATTGTTTTAGTAATTATCTAAATGGGGCGAGCATAATAGGGGTAGGCCTCATGATGGAGGCAGCCATGACAGGGGCGGGGAAGGAAATGACAGCAAGGGAGGAAGTGAGATGACGTCCATGATAGGTGTGGGAAAGGAAGACAGGAGGTGTGGGCATGGTAAGGGCGGAAGTGACGTTACTTTAGAAGCAACCGTGACTGTGGATAGGTCACGGGACTGGCAGGCGCCATCTTTAGGGTGGTGGTTGATGTACTTTCAACCATACACTATATTAAAACTATTAAAATAAGTCAGAGAAGCAACATTCTGTTCTGCAAAATGGAATACTAAACTATGAACAGACCTGGCAGGTTAAATAAGACAGTTGAGAACATTATGCATTTAACAGCCCATACAGCTGTTTCTAGAAACATGTACTTTAAAATAACTTTAAAATAATAAAATGATGCAAAATAAACTCGCGGAATTCAACCAAATTCCCTTATCTTCCTCAAACCATTAATCACTTTCCTCCTCTTATACTGACTTAACAACATCGCATATTCCCTCTACACCTTCCTAAATCCCGTATTCAACACTGAATGCAATCTTGTGACCTCGTCACTCCCACAATCCTCAGTACCTTATACTCTTATCAGTAGCTTCTGAATAACTCTACAGAACACCGAAGAGACAGACCTAAATCGCAAGCATGTCACCACCCCCCTCCGCGCGTCTCACAGAAGCGAGGGGAGGGGGGGTGTTTTAGCAGAGGGGGATTTGAGTGGAACAAGAGAGAGACTGCCTGCCAGCACGAATTTAACCATGTCAACGCTGTACAGTAACAAGACAGAAGGACAATTACATTACAAAGCAAAGAGACACAAAAACACAACATTTCATTTATACCCCCACCCTCTACCAGGGTAATGGCTAACACAAAATACAAAAACCCCACAGCGTTTTAAGATTGGGGTGGGATGGTGACCATGGTCAGCTACATTTCGGTCATTACTGACAGGATGATGGAAGTGGTCACCTCCTGGACAGGGCACTGGCTGGGATAACTTCCCAGTAACACAATTATTATGATATACATACAATCTTAAACCTTTGTGATCAATATCTTCCTCAACCTATCCCTTTTGCTGAATAGCTCTTGCTACTCGGTACCAGGCTTCTGCTGTACAAACCAAATCTTGGTCCGACAGCTTCTCTTTCTTCTCTGTCAGTAACTTACGCCAGCTCTCTGGCTACAATCTGCCGCACAGAGGTACGGTAATTCCACATACTTTAGCAATCTTCCTCACTTTCTTAACCATCTCTTCTCCTTCTCTGTCTTCCACTAGATCACATGCTAACCAACCCTTACTGGGTTTATCTAACTTCTGTCCCATCCTCCCTATACAAGGCGTCCCAGATATAGAGAGAGAAAGGAACAGAACGTCTACCGTGCTCGACTGCTACTTTAAGAGCAAGCTCTTTAAGTACGTCTTCCCAAAACGTAGACTAGTCACTGATTCCGCCTACCCGTGGTAGCCGCGGATTGGAGCGTGGCGAGAAGTGTGTGACCAATCACTTCTCTCAACAAAGAGAAATAGGAGGGGAAAGTGTAAATAGTACAGTGAGTAAGATAAAAGTAAACACAGGAATCTGTGTGACAGACAATTAAGACAATAACATTTCAGTGTAAATACAGTGCATGCATCACAGTTCAAATAAGTTCAACAGTTTTATCCCTTGCCTTTACTCGTGTGGCCAAAAGCCACCTCCCTCAACCTCGTAGTGTCCCTGTTGCGGACCCACCCGCAAGTCTCACTACCAGCAGCCACAGGAAACAGCAACAGCTTCCAACCCGAATCCTGTATAGCCTAAAGAATTGGAATCTTACCTGTCTCAGCGCTTGAGACTGGAATTTTACCAAGAAGAAGTGTCTGATGAGGCTAGCTAAGCGGTCAAAATGACACTCTGGGGATCCCCAGGAAGCAGTGAGTCTACTGCCCTCCACAGATCCCCCCTACTCTTTTTCCTTACAGCCACAGCCACGTGGCTCCTAAAAGAGTTAAACAGGCAATAGAGGACCCCCAGGAAAACTTCCACAGGTCCACCCCCCTTTTTCCTTACTACCACAGGCATGTGGTACCTAAAAGGGGTTAAACAGGCACTTACACTCCCCGGGTACTAAGTTAAACACATACCAATACAAACACACCCAGGCAACAGATAGTCAACATGCAGGTAAACTAGGTATCATTAACAATACAAAGACTCTGGGCAAGTTATTACCTGACTTTGATGTCCTCTCGGCAGCAGTCACAGACACTGGGGCAGGTCAATCACAGGGGTAGGAACATACCGGCTAGGTGCTGCAGCAATCTCTACCGTGTATTCAGAGGTGATCAGGCTCTTTTCCTTCCCCCAGGATTCAGCCCCCCCAGCGTCTTCTTGGACAGCTGCCCAGACTGGACATAGCCCAGAGCCCCACGTTGAGAGCGCCAATTGTTCTAGATGATTTACTGCAAACCAATTAGTTTGAATGACTATCTGTTCCTGTCCAAATTAAAGATAATAAAGTTGCGTGCACGCAGAAGTAAATTCACACTGAGACACAAGGTTCAGGGTAATGAAAGAACTTCAGAGAAGTTTAATGGCTTCTGACAGAAAATGGGTGCGCAGACCCTTATAAAGGCATTATTACATCATTGAAGAAAATCAAGATATAGACAAATAGACATTGTTAATTGGCTTAGGTGCTAAGATGTTAGTAAAATGCCCTCCCCATTCTTAGGTCACTATCTACGTAATTTCTTAACTCCTACAGGTTTTAGCGCCATCTTGTTAAAATGAGGAGCTCACTCGACGGGAGGGGCCTTTTGGCAGCTATCCATTTGGAGCGTAGCTGGCACTTGTTAGTTTCTCAAGGTTAAGTTTCAAGGATTTTAGTAAATACACATTTTATCAAAGCTATTTCTTGCTGACATGCAAATTCTATGTTCTATAGACAAAGCTTCCTTGTAAAACTATGGGGGCCTCTTAGAGGTATAGCAAGAGGATTTAAAGGGGCCTTACAAATTTATAGAGGCCTAATAATTCTACAACAACTCCAATGGCCATTGGAGGGAAGGCCCGCCTGCCAACGTCAAGACAGACCCCCTAAGCGAGTCCTACACTGACCCTTCCTTCACCTTGCTTCCTTGAGCTGCTGGCAAAGATATCTCTAATGAGACAGAGAGGGGTATTTTTTATATACACCACTATATACTTATTAACCCTTAATAGGGAACACATGGGATGGGCAGCAGCATTGTAACAAAGCTGTGTGATTCAAAAAGTGAATACAAATACAGAAAGATAAGTCCTGCGCTCACTTCCATCACTCCTGGGCGGCAGCAATGACTACAGTACACATGAGCCCCAATATATATAGTGAAAACTAAAGAAAAACAAGTTACCAGCGCTCTCTGTGTTCATAAAATGCTATGTGAGGATCTCCAGCGTTGCCGAAATCCCCACTGGAAAGCATTGAATAATGCTTTCCTATGGGGAGGTCTAAAGCGTGCACGGCCATTGCCGCGCATGCGCACTAGGTCCCCGCCCTCCACCGGCTGACGACGGAGGAGAGTAGGCAGAGCCTGACCCAGTGCCGAGGGACATCAGCGCTGGACTCCGGTAAGTCACTGAAGGGGTTTTAACCCCTTCAGCAAGTTGGGATGGGGGGTGGGAGGGAGAGGGGCACTCCAGGGTCCTGCAGTGCCAGGAAAACATTGTTTTCCTGGCACTGGAGAATCCCTTTAAAACGGGAGGCAAGTGGCACTCAGACCACATCATTGAGATGAAATGGCCAATGGACGTGTTCCTTTAAGAAATATACAGCAGCTTCAGATTCCTTTTATTGGTAAATAATTTGTAGTAGGAGTAAGCAACCTTCTGCACTCCAGATATTGTGAAATACATCTCCCATGATGGTTTGCCAGCATCATGGCTGTAAGCATTATGGGACATGAAGTCCACACCATCTGGAGTGCAGAAGGATGTATATTCCTGTACTGGTTTATAGTATGCAAACCTTACTATGCAACCCTTCGCTCACATGGTTCACTTATCAAAAACACTAACCAAAACATTTATTTGTTTGTTACTGTTTGTCATATTAAGTCTTTTTGTTTTGTTTTTGTTAAAGGGACACTATAGTCACCAGAACAGCTACAGCTTATTATGGTGAGCAGAATCATTCCCTTCAGGCTTTGTGCAGTAAACACTGTGTTTTCATAGAAAATACATTGTTTACATAACAGACAAAGGATACCTCCACTGGCCACTCCTCAGATGTTACTAGAGGTGCATCCTGGGCCATTCAGTGTCTGCACCCTCTGCATGAAGACACTGAGCTTTCCTCATAGAAATGCACTGATTCACTGTATCTCTATGAGGAGATGCTGATTGGCCAGGGCTGTGTTTGGCTTGTGTGTGATCTGCCTCCATGACAGTCTCAGCCAATCCTATGGAAAAGCAGTGTGATTGTTTTAGAGATTCACTTCTGATGATGTTAGCCAAGCAGGCAGATTAGAGACAGACACATCATCTGCAGACTGGAATACAAGTAAGATTTTACTATATTTAGGGGGCAGGTGGGCTAGATGGGGGTTTTAACACTCTAGGGTGATGCATAAATGTTTGTGTTCCAGACTCTCTATAGTGTTCCTTTAATGTATCCATTATTCGTTGCATCCAGGTTTTGTCAGGCCTGTGTGATTATTATTATTTTTAAATATAATACTGTTTTTTTTTTTTTTTATTCTTATTTTTTTTATAATCCACTCTGTGGGATGATATTGACATTGTTACCCCTTTTTAAGACTTGTCACCTCAACAGGGACTGTTTTATGGTGTATGTGTATCGGTTTGTATACTTTTTTCTGCTGATTTTTAACAAAAAAAGATGCAATTAGTTAGCTTGTGCTTTTGTTGCTGGCGCTATAATTCAAAACCAACTCTTTTAGTTTATTGGTTATTGAAATAAAAATAACTGTTTCATTTTAGGTTCCTAACAAGTATGGAAGAAGGATGTGACAAAAATGATCGTCCAACTTCTAGCAGTCAATACCCCAAAGAGAAGCTCCGTAAACGGCAGAATTCTTCACACAGTTCTAGAAGCAGCGATTCTTCCAGATCATCAAGGAAGAGCTTTAAGTTGGATCTTCGACTAGAGGAGGATGTAACTAAGTCTAGAAGAGACAAGAACGGTAGATTCGTAAACCCTTGGCCTACTTGGAAGTCACCTGCCTTTCTGAGTGCACTAAAATGGGCCATGACAGAGAAGGATAACAGCAATGTTCCAAGCTCAAAGGAGGTAAATCCTATTCTAAATATCCTTTTCCGATTAACATGACTTACCATAACATTTATTTAGGCAATTCTAGGTCATGTGTTAAGGAACACTATATATATGATAAGGAATACAAAAGTGTTTTCCTGACCCTATAGTGTTAAAATCACTGTTTAGCCTCTCATTTCCCTCCTTAAATACGATAAAAACTCTTATTTCCAATGTGGCGCAGGTCTGCCAACACTGGCTCCGCCCTGGATCCACCTCCTTGGCTGATATCATAAGAATTGATGATCTCTGCCAGTTACAATTCTTTTCCATAGGATGATCTCGGCCAAGGAGGTGGGGTATGGGCGTAGCCAAATGCCATCCTAGCCAATCAGCGTTTACAACAAAAAGTTTGCAGGAACAGGCTAAAGAAACAGCGCACACACAAACAAAAATACAGTTTTACATTTAACAAGGCTACTTAAAATCACCTATGTTAGCAAATAAAGAGAGAGTGAGAGTATTTCCATCCTTGTCTTTTTTTAAAGAAAATGTGTTTCTTTTTACAGGAGCTTGACAAAGAACTTCCAATACTTGAACCTTATTTTGTTAATCACATGGAGCTTGCTGGAAAGACAGAAAATGGATTACGGATTACTTGGTTGGGTCATGCATCTGTTATGGTGGAAATGGATGAATTGATATTTCTTACTGATCCCATATTTAGTCAGCGAGCATCTCCTCTCAGCTTTGCAGGCCCAAAGCGATTTCGTGGGCCACCATGCACTGTAGAGCAGCTTCCAAAGATTGATGCTGTTGTAATCAGCCACAATCATTATGACCATCTGGACTATAAAACAGTACTAAGTCTCAATGCCCGCTTTGGCACAGAACTAAGGTGGTTTGTTCCGTTGGGCCTCCTGAGCTGGATGCAGAGTTGTGGCTGTGAGAATGTTATTGAGTTAGATTGGTGGGAGCAGAACTGTGTACCTAGACATGATGAGGTGACTTTTGTTTTTACTCCTGCTCAGCACTGGTGCAAAAGGGGAGCTTTTGATGACAACAAGGTTCTGTGGGGAAGCTGGTCTGTCCTGGGACCTACAAATCGATTCTTTTTTGCAGGAGACACTGGTTATTGTGGTGCTTTTGAAGAAATTGGAAAGCGATTTGGGCCTTTTGATGTTGCTGCTATTCCCATTGGAGCTTATGAGCCCAGGTATGTGTATGTGCTAAATAATGGCACTTGACAGTATGTATCACTTTGTCACCGCCACAGTGCCATTTTTAAAATGAGCTAATTCACTTGCACCATGTAGAAGTGGTTATAAAGCATAAAGGAATTTACTGTGATGTGCACATAGGTCAGATTATTTCACATTGTTGTAACATAGTGAATTTAAATGCTTGCATCTTTGCTATGAGACAATGTGATTAGCTGGAACAGCACAGCCAATGGTCCTGGAATATTAGAACTGTACAGCTACAAAGACATTTTTTTTCACACACATTTGGGCTTCCATGACTTACTACTTTTGCATGGCCATTTTGTCCAATGTGTTGCTCTTTGGTGTTTTGTTTTTAGTGTGACAAAGTATTTCACTATCATACTATGGGTAACACAGATTCTAAGGGGTGAGCAGCATTGACATACCTACTTGTGCCAATAATGGGTAAAGGGTGGTTTACTGGAAGCCAATCTCCATTCTAGTGGCTCTGTCACTTCTGAGTATTGCATTAACATATAATCTTGCAACTATTGGCTGTGGGGATTGGGCTTTGCCTCACTTATCGCATGACGTGATCTATGGAGGCTCCCATTATCTTGTGAGATCCTCAATGTTGTACTCTCACAGCTCCTGGCAGTTTGAAGGAGAACTGTCCCTTCTCTAAAATCTACCATTGAGTAAAATCTCGGAAATCTCTGACAACCTATGCTAACCATTTTTCTTTTTTTAAATCTTTATTTTTGACGGACAGGTTAGTACATAACTCACAGTGTACAAACAAGGTCCAGTATATCAAAAACCAGTTACATTAACAATAGTGCATATTTCAAGGATCAACATTGTAGCAAACAAAGTTTTACTGTAATTAACGCATTCTCAGACGACTTACGCTTACAAGCACAAACCCCGTCAGGATTTTATATATATATATATATATATATATATACACAATATATATAACAGAAATCGTTTGGGTAATGTAGCCAGATAAATCTCCCAGCAGCGCCTTCATTAGATTGCACATCGGTAGTAGGACAGATTCAGCTAGGGCATACCTGGATTATGCTAACCAATTTTTATTGGTTTCAGACGCTTCATTCCCATTTTTTTTAAATTTACATTAACAATCTAATTCTCTCAAGACAAACCAAGGCAGACTTTGCAAATGAGAAGAAACAGAAACATTGTTTAATTTCGCCGTTGGTACACTTACTTTATGTAGACTACAGGGGTATTATTAGCAGTGTAGCATAATGATCGGTTTACCTGACAATGAAATGCTTCCCTCTAGTGGTCACTGGTTATGCGTCAATTTAAATATTTGTAGTATTGAGAAAAACATGCACTTTCCATTTTATGTAGATGTTTTATAAAAAAAATAAAAACAACTGAGCAACCCAACAAGTTTTTAAGTTTTTAACCTTAATTTGAGATTCTGGAGATATATAATAATTTTTTTTTTGTGGTCTAGGAATGGGGTTGTAAAGTGTTGCAAATTTAACAATACAGTTGTTGAATTAATAAAATCTATATTTTGGCCTACATTTTGCAACTCTGATGTTGCTTTGCCACAGTTCCCTGTTTTTTTGGATAAACTCCTTAATTCTCTTCATTATTTAAACCATTTTATTAAGCATCATGAAGACATTTGTATATTGAATTGCACCTTAATTGAGAATATTGTCAGTAGCACTCACGGTCTTCCATAAAATCCAGTCTTTATTGGGTAATATTAAAAAGGATCAACGTTTCAGTCCTAATCAAGGACTATTTAACAAGAAATGTGTTATGGGCATCGTGGAGGGATTGGATGAGCAGCAGCCTTCACTACACTCCAAGTGTACTAATTCCTGCACATAGGCAATATTCCAATCTGAAATGGTTCAGTGCACATACAGATTTATATTTACTTTTTGAGCAATTGATGATTCTTAACAAGCTTTTTCACTGAAGTGTTACGTTTAAGGAATCCAAACTGAATTTCAAATTGCAGGTCAAAATATCCAAACAGAAAATATTTTGGCCTAAAATCTGAAATTCACTTTAAATGTACACTGGATTCCTGGAAATTAACACTTTTTGGTTTTGATGTGGAATCAATCAATAAATTGATTATCTTGCTTAGCTGCCCCTGGCCAAATGAAAGAAGTAATGCGTGCACGCTCCTGAAGTAATTCACACCAGTCATAGGTTTCGGTTTAATGAAAAACTTGAGGAATGTTTATTCTGAGGGGACGGCATGTCCCTTATAAAGCAAAATTACATTATAAGCATTGTCAGAGATAACATGGAATAATACATCAATAATTAGTTAGGTGTTAAGTGGTTCATTTAATGCTCTTCCTACCGGGTGTGATGTCACTGGTATCTTGGAGGTCTCCCCCAGATTCCAGCGCCATCTTGTTAATGAGGGTGTTAGTCGATGTCAAAGGGAGACTCCCTAGCGGCCATTTTAGGTAAATCATATAGAAAGTTGAACAATGCTGATTGTAGTTATACAGGGAGTGCAGAATTATTAGGCAAGTTGTATTTTTGAGGATTAATTTTATTATTGAACAACAACCATGTTCTCAATGAACCCAAAAAACTCATTAATATCAAAGCTGAATATTTTTGGAAGTAGTTTTTAGTTTGTTTTTAGTTTTAGCTATGTTAGGGGGATATCTGTGTGTGCAGGTGACTATTACTGTGCATAATTATTAGGCAACTTAACAAAAAACAAATATATACCCATTTCAATTATTTATTATTACCAGTGAAACCAATATAACATCTCAACATTCACAAATATACATTTCTGACATTCAAAAACAAAACAAAAACAAATCAGTGACCAATATAGCCACCTTTCTTTGCAAGGACACTCAAAAGCCTGCCATCCATGGATTCTGTCAGTGTTTTGATCTGTTCACCATCAACATTGCGTGCAGCAGCAACCACAGCCTCCCAGACACTGTTCAGAGAGGTGTACTGTTTTCCCTCCTTGTAAATCTCACATTTGATGATGGACCACAGGTTCTCAATGGGGTTCAGATCAGGTGAACAAGGAGGCCATGTCATTAGATTTTCTTCTTTTATACCCTTTCTTGCCAGCCACGCTGTGGAGTACTTGGACGCGTGTGATGGAGCATTGTCCTGCATGAAAATCATGTTTTTCTTGAAGGATGCAGACTTCTTCCTGTACCACTGCTTGAAGAAGGTGTCTTCCAGGAACTGGCAGTAGGACTGGGAGTTGAGCTTGACTCCATCCTCAACCCGAAAAGGCCCCACAAGCTCATCTTTGATGATACCAGCCCAAACCAGTACTCCACCTCCACCTTGCTGGCGTCTGAGTCGGACTGGAGCTCTCTGCCCTTTACCAATCCAGCCACGGGCCCATCCATCTGGCCCATCAAGACTCACTCTCATTTCATCAGTCCATAAAACCTTAGAAAAATCAGTCTTGAGATATTTCTTGGCCCAGTCTTGACGTTTCAGCTTCTGTGTCTTGTTCAGTGGTGGTCATCTTTCAGCCTTTCTTACCTTGGCCATGTCTCTGAGTATTGCACACCTTGTGCTTTTGGGCACTCCAGTGATGTTGCAGCTCTGAAATATGGCCAAACTGGTGGCAAGTGGCATCGTGGCAGCTGCACGCTTGACTTTTCTCAGTTCATGGGCAGTTATTTTGCGCCTTGGTTTTTCCACACGCTTCTTGCGACCCTGTTGACTATTTTGAATGAAACGCTTGATTGTTCGATGATCACGCTTCAGAAGCTTTGCAATTTTAAGAGTGCTGCATCCCTCTGCAAGATATCTCACTATTTTTGACTTTTCTGAGCCTGTCAAGTCCTTCTTTTGACCCATTTTGCCAAAGGAAAGGAAGTTGCCTAATAATTATGCACACCTGATATAGGGTGTTGATGTCATTAGACCACACCCCTTCTCATTACAGAGATGCACATCACCTAATATGCTTAATTGGTAGTAGGCTTTCGAGCCTATACAGCTTGGAGTAAGACAACATGCATAAAGAGGATGATGTGGTCAAAATACTCATTTGCCTAATAATTCTGCACTCCCTGTACTGAGTAAATAGGCATTTTACCAACATGGATTGGGTTAATATTCTTGTCCACAACAGGTTTACTCACGAGCTGCATTATAAACTGCTGTAATTTTGTTTTCTAAAATAGTCTCAGTAAAAAGTATTTTTCATAACAAATCTTAAATTCTGTTTTATTAGGTGGTTCATGAAATCTCAGCATGTAGATCCAGAGGATGCTGTGCGAATTCATGTTGATGTCCGTGCAAAGAAATCACTTGGCATACACTGGGGAACCTTTGCATTAGCTAATGAAGTATGTTGCATCTATGCTCTTTTGTGTGTCAAAATACAATTTTTTATTTTTTTATTTTTTTGCGAGTGATTGAATACATTGCAAACGTGAGAGACCTACTGCAAGTTAGGGAGAGGGGCAGTGTATTCATTTTGGGAGGGAGGGCAGTGTATTTGAGTGGTGGGAGGGGGCAGTGTGTTAGATTTGGCGGGGGCAGTGTATTCAGTTGGTGGAGTGATGGGGGACAGGGTGTTGAATTGGGCGGCAATGTATTGGATTTGTGGGCAGTGTATTAGATTGGATCTGCATGGATGTCCTAATTGGCCTCGCAGCATTTTTGCCATACATGCACAATAGCCTCCTATTGCTTTCCTATCATCATGTTTGATCTCGGCCAAAGTGAAGAACACAATTATAGGCTTTAAAATCAACAAGATAACAGAATTTGTTTTTACAGCTGTGCAACAGCATACATTCACCATTTCAGTCCCATTACCAAACATTTCTTAATATGTCAAGGTAGTTGAACTGAAACATTGGTTATATGCAAATGCACGTCTCCTTACAATAAATTTGCTCTTTTGTTTATTTTGAAGCCTTATAAGCATGAGGACATCCAGTGTCAGTTAGGCATTTTATTTTTATTTTTTAATGCTGTACTGTTCGAAATAAACCTATGTCTCTATGAAAACTGAAGTTTTTGTTTTTTTGCAGCCCACATAAACTTAAACCTTGGTTATTTGGCCAGTATTAGCATTTGAGTTTGGCATGCTTGTATTACACCCACTTTAAAGGACCACTATAGTGCCAGGAAAACAAACTAGTTTTCCTGGCACTATAGTGTTAATAGGTCCCCCCCACCTTCATGGCCTCCCCTCCCGCCGGGCTCTAGGGGGAGGAAGGGGTAAAGGCTTACCTTTCTCCAGTGCTGGGCTCTCCTCCCTCTTCCGCCAAATGCGCATGCGCGACAAGAGCCGCACGCGCATTCAGTCAGTCCATAGGAAAGCATTCTCAATGTGAAAATCACAGTGAGAAGCGCGGAAGCGTCTCTAGTGGCTGTCAATGAAACAGCCACTAGAGGCTGGATTAACCCTAATGTAAACATAGCAGTTTCTCTGAAACTGATATGGTTACAGCAGGCAGGGTTAACCCTAGATGGACCTGGCACCCAGACCACTTCATTGAGCTGAAGTGGTCTGGGTGCCTATAGTGGTCCTTTAAGTACTGCAATTTATGTTTTGAAATTCCACCTTCCACCTTTGGAATGTTGAGAGAAAAGATTTGCAACTACTTCACGTTTATTTGAAAAAAAGGGAAGAATTAATTAAGTGTATTTACTTGAAATGAACATTTTCAACTTGTTTTGTAAAAGGAGTATATTCAGTTGTGTTGGCTTTTGTATTACGGAAAATATATTTATACTTACCATGATTTTCTATTCCTGGGTAGATCCACAGCAGCATAACTATAATGGGCAGCTCCTCCATTCCTGACTGGAAAAAGAACAAAAATTATTAAACCAAACTACCTACCTTTTGGTCACCAATCTAGTAACAAAGTCGCATGTGCCAGGGGTATATCTAGCCTCCCATCACAAAAGTGTGTGTAAGACATTCTTTATAAAATTATCACAAAGGCACACTCCTATACCAGTGCAGTGAAAAAATATAATTATAAACACAGCCCTTAATGCTTTTTGTTTTGAAGGTGAAGTCTGGGAGGCACGGACATCAAGGAAGCAATATCTCATAAATGTGTTGATGGCCGGGTTACAGCTCTAGAAATATTTTCTACTGTAATGTTCACTGCAGGTGCCCAGTTGATGGGAGAACCCTAGATGAATGGGCTTTGATGCCTTTTGGGGTATTTGGTTTTACAGGCTTCAGAAATCCACCTCCTCAACGCCCCTATCAAGGCCATTTAATTTTAGAGTATTGGTCGGAGGGCGAAAGAGAAAGCAACTGTTGAATTGTGGACCATGAAGGTATTCTAGTCAGTATGCAATATTGAGGATATTATGGTCTGGTTGATCTAAATCTTGGTATCCTGAGAGTGATGAAGACAGGCCCCCATCTTGAGATCCTTGTCTGGGGTACCTTTAGAAATTCCTTGAAAGGATCCAGATTTTCTATTGGTGCCTCTCATCTGACCACTTCTCCATGTGTGAGATCTGTTAAATTCTCATGCGTGGTGCTATTGTTGCTGAATGGAAAAAAAGTCAGGAGGGACCCAAAGAATGTGTTACAAAAAACAGACAATATTTGTTGTTTCTTCAAGTTGGGTTTCCAAAAAGTAAATCTCCTTTAACAAAGTTGTTTTCATAGCACTATGGTGATCTATAATGCCCCCCTCCCATGTATTATTTTTTTTTTTCCATTGGGTGTATATCTAAAAATTGCTTACAAAAACCTGCAAGTTCTCTTGTCTGTAGCCTTTGCCAAACCCTCACCTTCTAACCCCTCCCAGACCTTCTGTGGCTGTCCAATCACAGACTTCGCAGTACAGCTCATTGAGACATCTTTGCGGGGTGTTCTGAGTAATTGCTTGCCACTTGAGTTGGCTCACTTGAGCTAACCGAATCAGGAAGTAACAGGACCTGTTGTCTGGTTGAAAGCCAAGGGGGTTGTAACCAGGTTAATTAAAATATGTCAATTTCTATCGAAATCTGCACTTTTTTGCAACATGGAAAAAACAGGACACAGTCTTCACACATAAAGCATTCCAGCAAGCTAAAGTGCTTTAGGAGTCTGTAGTGTCCTTTTCTTTATGTTTGAAGTGCAGATTTAAGTACTTGCTTCAATGTAGACACATAAGATGAGGCATGATAAAAATAAGTAAATATTAAAAGTCAGGATATGCTGCGTTTTTGTTAATGCAAAAAAAAGAAAGATAATGATACATGAAGAAACAAACCTGGCATCATACTTGGTAACAGGAGAGAGAGACATGGTATCTTAGTCAGGCAAGTGACTTTTTATGTGCACTATTAACCATATCACCAGGGTCCATTCCTTATAGGTGCTTCCTGGAAGAGAGTGGGTAAACTCTCCCAGGGAAAATTAATGTAGATATGTGAACCTGCGTTAGGTAGGTAGATAGATAATATGTAACTGTCCAGCATCCATGAGGACTAGAAAAGTCCTGGTGACTGTCTGTAAGTATCATTTTTTTATAATCTTTGTTCTATTTTCTGTCCTGTTAGCCAATATTGGCAAAGCTGCCCATTAGTGATGCTTCCATGGATTGATGTGGAAATATATAGAGTAAAAAAAAAAGTGTGGTGGTGTGGGGGGGATCCTTTTTTGAGGGTAGGTGCATTCTGTGTATATGATGTTTAGATAATTGCTTTAACAAGATGCGGTGTTGAATTGTGGCATGCATGATAGAAATGGTCCTATGGGTCTGGGGGAGTCTGGCGCATGCAGACTATAAAACTGTGGCTTGGCCCCAAATACCATTGGCAGTGAGGCCTGGCCATGCCTGTTGCGTACTAGAAGATCTTGGCATCAGTACTCACCATTACAGATACATAAAGTGGCAACGTGGTGATCTACTTGTACGCAGCAGGGCTAACTGGAAGAGAAGCTGCCTGGCTGGTATTCTGAATCTCCTAAACAGACTAATGATTTGTCTTATGTTTTTGTTTTTTTGTTTGTTTTTTTATAGTTCTACTTGGATCCTCCAGTTAAGCTGAGCGAAGCTCTCCACCAATATGGACTGAACCCAGATGATTTCTTTGTTCTAAATCATGGAGAATCCAGAGAGTTTAATATAGAGAACAGTGATAAATGTGAATGATTGTGATGATGTGAGTGTTTGATAATGAATATAGGGTTTGGGATGTTGAGAGAAAAGATTTGCAACTACTTCACATATATTTGAAAAAAAAGGGAAGAATTAATTAAGTGTATTTACTTGAAATGAACATTTTCAACTTGTTTTGTAAAATTGTATAATTAAGGTATAAGTCTTCCAGAATGTGTGTGTTGTAAAACACATAACTTTATTCACCTTGCTTGCTAAGTAGGTGATAACAAAACACCTCTTAAAACAAAGTGTGCCTTTTTTAGAAGACTGCTGTCAAACTCACCTGCCACGCTGTTGGTTTGCATATCCTCAGCGCATTTTACATTTGCCATGCTGACTAACTTATGTATATACACTGTCAGGAATTCAAAGTAAATTTAAGGCCAAAATAGCTAAATTTTATTAATTCTCAAACTCCCGACATTTTTCATTTTTGTTAATAACCCTAAATATGTTTTATTATTCACATAAAATACAAACAGGTAGGATTGTGAGTTTTATAGAATGACAAAGAGATGCAAAGTTTATTTAGTAAATCAGGTATTGTGGAGACTCGAACTGGGAAAAAAAGTGTGTGTTGACAGTTTTGTTTTTTGTTTTGTTTTCTGACGGTTGTTTTGTTTGCCAGAATTGACCAGAGAATTGCCAATATTAAGCGAGGGTAGTAATATTTGACAAATTTGTCAATTTTGCTATTTTGACCAAGTGTCTGTAATTAAATTGTCAGTTCTCCTTAATTACATGTCTAGTGAATAAATATGTGAGATTAATTTTATGTATTGATTTTAAATTCTTGAGATATAGAAAAGTTTGAAAGCAATTATGCATTTGAAGAGTGGCTAAAGTTATCTTATCTGCATTTTTATTTTTAATAAACGTTCTGAAATGGAAGAAGAGAACATTTTACTAATTGGAGATAAAGACACACCGAGGGATACATGATCACATTTGTTATCAAAGTATATATTACATTACATGATTAATAAAATACAGAAAATGTGTAATATACATTAAATATCTGGTTTGTTGTGTAGTTTCCCAACAGATATGAATTGGATCTTGAATGAAAAGGCACTATCATGTTTTGTGTATAAAGATATCACCACTTGTGTTTTTTTTTTGTCCTCTATCCATAATGTGTGTAGTTTGCCTTTCTGTGGGATTCTTTTTACTGATGTCTTGTGGGTAAACTAGCTTAGCAACTGAAATACGTTTGCTTAAAGAAACACTACACTGCCTGAATAAAAAACAACATTGTTTAGTAGATATACCCTAAATGAAAACATGCATGCATTTAATTATAAAAAATTTTTTCCAATGGAGGTATATCTAAAAACAACTTGCAAAAGCTGCTGCCTTTGCAAACCATTCCCTTCTTTCCAAGCCCATACTTTCTGGTTCTGTCCAATCACAGACTTTCCAAAGCAGCCCAATGAGAAGTCTTTGCAAGGCAGGTGCTCTAAGCAATTGCTGCCTCTTGAGTTAAGCTCCACCAAGCTAACCAAGCCAGGAAGTAACAGGACTGGCTGCCTATTTTGACAGCCTGGGGGCTGTTATAAGTTTAGTTTATAACATTGCCAAGAGCTATTAAAATCTGCACTTTTTTAAAATGAAAAAAATAAATAAAGAGGACACATTGTTCACACAAAGCATTACAGCAAGCTCAAGTGCTTATGGGCATTGGAGTCTCCCTTTAAACTCCACCTGTTGCCAAAGATCACACTCCCCATGTGAAAAAGTAAATTTTCTTATGTATAACTAAAGAGAATTTAAATAACTAAAATCAAGGGGTAAACAACTTGATTAATTTAAAAACCTACAATGACAGTGCCTCTTCAATCATGAAGTCATGTTCATATCTTAGCAAATCAAGGCAGGCATGAGCATACAGGCAACAAAATCAATGTACAATTATGTATGTTTCCTAATGCAATGAAAGAAGTAGAAATAGGTGAAATTTAAATTTTCATTGTGTTTACAAATGCAAGCCTGTAATACAATACTTAAAAGTTTGTCTACTGCATACAAATGAACATTTAGCAAAGTGTTCTAAAGAGTGTCTCTTTTTTTTGGTAAGAGTTTTAAACCTGTTCAAATTTTCCAATTTAATAAAGTGTTTTGAAATGTATTTCTTCTTTGTATATTTTAAAAGCTTGCACCTCCACAGTTTTGAACTTAAAACTAAGTATACTGTGTGTACAGTCTGTGCACATTCCGCCACATAGAAACATAGAATGTGACGGCAGATAAGAACCATTCGGCCCATCTAGTCTGTCCAATTTTCTAAATACTTTCATTAGTCCCTGGCCTTATCTTATAGTTAGGATAGCCTTATGCCTATCCCACGTATGCTTAAACTCCTTTACTGTGTTAACCTCTACCACTTCAGCTGGAAGGCTATTCCATGCATCCACTACCCTCTCAGTAAAGTAATACTTCCTGATATTATTTTTAAACCTTTGCCTTTCTAATTTAAGACTATGTCCTCTTGTTGTGGTATTTTTTCTTCCTTTAAATATAGTCTCCTCCTTTACTGTGTTGATTCACTTTGGACACCAAAATTAAAAGTGAAGTAAGAAAACAGTGTGGTGCAAAAAGGCATAATTATTAATAATAATGTGCTATACAAAAATTTACGCAAATGGGGGGGGTAGGGGGGGAGATGTCCGCATTTATCATTCACTCCTGGAAATGCCCTTTTCTTTTTAATTTCTTGGATTACCTTAATAAGCCACACAGTCTTTTATATTTGTTATCTAATAGTATATACGGAAATGTGTACATTTCGATTATTTGTTTGAAGACTCAACATTCGTTAAAGAGTTTATGCCAATTAATGAGTTGTAAAGCAGCCCTTATCTTATTTGAATTAGATTGTTAAAATTATGTTTTTTGCATTTTTGAGTTTATTTCAAAGGTACCGTATTAAGATGCCCATTTCCTCTACCATGCTCCCTTACTTGAATGTTTGACAAAAGATCAGCATTGTTTTTTATAACCATATCCAAGCATCCTTTCTATTTGGTGCTTCTACCAATTGTGACATGAAGGTGTAATTTAACTGGTTCAAAAACTTGATTGCTCTAGTGAACAAAAAGTTCCCTATGTATATTTAGACAAATGGAGGTCATTTAGTTACTCCAATGGCCATTGGAGGGAAGGCCCGCCTGCCAACGTCAAGGCAGACACCCTAAGCGGGCCCTACACTGACCCTTCACCTTGCTTCCTTGAGCTTCTGGCAAAGATATCTCCACTGAGACAGAGAGGGGTATTTTTTTTTATATTTTCAACAATCATCTACTACACAAAGCATAGGCAAACGGCACTGCAGATGTTTTGTACTACACCTCCCATGATGCTTTGCCAGGATTATGGGTGTAAGAGCATTTTGAGGAATGTAGTCCACAACATCTGGAGTGCCAAAGGTTGCCTATCCCTGTACTACACAAACACCTATGGAAAGGTCATCCATCGAAATGAGTAACATTGCGCACAACTCCCCCTGCTCCCCCCAATGTTCCTACTCCTCATTTTCTAGTTATGACCCTCCTAGCAACTTTAACAGCAATTACGTTATCTTCCTAGTCATGTTTATTCCTACCACAACAGTCTTGTAGCCTCATGCATTCTTCCCTCTAGCTACAGCCTTCTCCCATAACTCATACTTCATAAGCTCAGACTTTGTCACTCCTTTGTTATGCTCAACATCTCTTTTGGTTTGGAAGACTAAAATATTTATTAAAAGCTACACTATAGTCACAAAGACCACTTCAGCTCAATGAAGTGGTCTGGGTGCCAGGTCCCCCAGGTTTTAACCCTTCAGATGCAAACATAGCAGTTTCAGAGAAACTGATATGTTTACATTTGGGGTTAATCCAGCCTCTAGTGGTTGTCTTCCGGACAGTCACTAGAGGCGCATCTGCGACGCTGGAGGTATATTTTACCTCCATCGCGCAGAGCGTCCATATGAAAGCATTGAGAAATGCTTTCCTATGGAACTTTGAATGTGCGTGCTACACTTGCTGCGCATGCTGCTCCAGTGACGTCAGAGCTGACGTCGGCAGGGGAGGAGAGGTCACCAGGTAAGTGGCTGAAGGGGTTTTAACCCCTTCAGCGCCACGGGAGAGGAACACTGTGGGTGGGGGCACCCTCAGGGCACTCTAGTGTCAGGAAAACCGCTTTGTTTTCCTGACACTATAGTGATCCTTTAAGATAAGCTTTGTCCCTGTGTTGGTAAGTAGCTTAGGAGAGTGATGCCTCAGGGGTTAACTGCATCAAGTAACTGCCACCAGAGACTAAGCAGGCATTTTGATGCAGCGGAGGACTAGGAAAAGCAAAGAGACCAGGTTTCGTAGCCTTATTAAATATCTAGGAGGTGGAGCAGCAGTGACTGCAGTCACATGCATTCACTGGAAGATACTTGTGCAGTTACTCACACATTGTAGGCTACCCCCTATTCATCTTCTATACACAAACAAATCTAGGCATATGATACAGCAAGCCCAACATCTGCATTAAAGCTGCGTTGTGGTTTCCTCTACCTTGCGTGAGGTTTAAAAAAAATAAAATAAAAATAAATCCCCTTTATGAAATTTCAACACATTTAAAAGATATAACCAAAGTACAGACTACTTATGTCTTTTCCTTTCACTTGTCGAAAGATAGAGCTACAACCATCATATTTAGTCAATTCTCTTAGTGACCGCTGAGAAAAAAAAAAAAAAAGTCAGTCTATGGAGGCTCCCACGAATGCGTAAGAGTACAGAGCTGCCACAGGCTAATGGCAGATTAAATGGACAGCTTCAGGTAGTTAAAATCTGCCTTTCGATGCACCCAGAGTAGAGGCAAACCTGCTTTTTGTTCCGATTTTTTTTATTCTTAATAGATTAATGATTGTGTGAGAAATTTGAGTGTACATAACCAACATACATGAGAGGGATAAACATTATGTCTGCCAGCCAGAGATCCAATAAGTCTGGACTGCATTTCTTTGTTTTTCTCCCCTACCACTTTTGCCATTGAAGGAAGAGATGCCATTGCCTAGGTCAGTGATGGCGAACCTGTGGCACGCCGGGCCCTCTCTGTGGGCACACGGCCATAGGTCGCCGGTGTTCTATCAAATTTGCCTACCGGTGAAAATCCCCTATTTGATAGAACACCAGTCACCATCAATGCAGAGTTGGCACCTGCCTGTCCAAAAAGGCAGGCGCCTACTCTGCTTCCGTGTCGGGAGGACAGGGGGGAGGGCTCTAGGAAGCAGCTCTCCTGTTCACCCACGAGCAATCTGTGTGGAGCGTTGCCGCGCGTAACCATGGCAATGCTCCACACAGCATTATGCGCGCAGGAGAAGAGAGATGCAGGACCCTTCCCTCCTACCACCACCGGACCACCAGGGATTTCTGTGGCCCCCATCCTTTACAAAAGGTAAGAGGAAGGGGGACACAGATTGTATTATTAATTATATATATTTGCAGCAGCACTCCCCACACACACAGACACGGCACCCTACCCCCATACACAGCATCCCCCCACACACACAAACACATACACTGCACCCCTCAATGCAGTGTGTTTGTGTGTATGTATTCAGCAGACTGTGTGTGTATTTAGCGGTCTGTGTGTACGTATTCAGCAGTCTGTGTGTTGGTGTGCATGTATTCAGCAGTCTGTGTGTGAATGTGTTTTATGTATGTATTGCATTTGTTGGAGATACTAATAAATATAAGCCTAATTTTATCTATAATTTACATTTTTATTCCTGTGAGTTGTGTGTAGGCAGGGCCCCAATGCACTGCTTTGCCTGGGGGCCCATAATGTTAAGGTGGCACTGGTGGGTGGAAGGGATGGAAGGCTGCGAGGGAGCACTGACTTATGTGGTGTTCCAGCACTGCTCACTCCACTGATGCCGCCAGGAGACAGGAAATTACGTCAATCAGGCACTGCCTGATTGACGAAATTTCCTGTTTCCCAGCGGCATCAGCGGAGGGAGCAGTGCTAGAACAGCACTTAAGTCAGTGCTCCCTGGCGCCCACACCCCCTCACAGGAGCGGGAATGAATCGGATCCACCAGTTAGGGAGCCTGGGTGTACTTCAAACCCCCACCTGCACCAAAAATATTATTTATGCGCTGGTATGGGGGAAGAAGGGGGATATGCTGGGGTAGTGAGGGGAAGATGCTGGGGGGGGAGAGAAAAGAGGAGATGCCGGGGAGGGGGGAGGAAGAGGAGAATCTGATGGAGAAGAGGAGGAGATTCTGGGGAAGGATTGGAGAGAAGGGGAGAGGAAGAGAAAAATCTGGGGGAGAGGAGGAGAATCTGGGGGGAGAAGGGGAGAGGAGGAGGAGAATCTGGGGAGAGGAGAAGGAGATGTTGGGGGGGAGAAGGGGAGAGGAGGAGGAGATGCTGGGGAGAGAGAAGGGAAGATGCTGGGGGGAGAGAAGAGGAGAATTAGCTCGGACAACTGTATGAGTTGTTTTTATTCTAAACTTAAACCTAAGTATTCAGGTTTAATTGCTGTGTTGGCACTTTGAGGGGAAAAAAATTGGCATGTATTGCAATTTGGGCACTCGGGCTCAAAAAGGTTCGCCATCACTGGCCTAGGTGGACAGATTCACCTTACCTTTGCTAAGGATTGCAGAATCATCATCTTCCATACGGCTGTTGTACACAGATCTTGTATATGACTGACTTTTTATATAATTTTATAAGCAGAGAGTGTTGTCCAGAAACAATTACAAAAACCAGGAGTCAAACTATTCAAAAAGTTTTATTACTTCCCATGGGATGGCACCATAACCACTACAGTGCCCCTTAAAATAGAACAAAACAAACATGTTCAAATATTTACAAAGTAATTTATACACATTTAATTGCTGTAGTCCATCATGATTTGGCTTTGCACATGTTATATTACTGGCTCTTAAGCAGTGTCTGTAGTACATGAACATGTTTTTCTTCGCAGTAAACTCATTTTAGCTGTAAAAAGGTGGAGAAAAAAAAAAAAAAAACCCACCCAAATACCCCCCACACACATAAAAAGGGAGACTTAAAAAAAAAACCCACCCAAATACCCCCTCACACACATAAAAGGAGACTTAAAAAAATATATATATATATATATATATATATATATATATATATATATATATATATATATATATATATATATATATATATATATATATATATATATTAATTTCAAATTATCAAAAGTGCATTTAAAGTGAACCTTATTTCAGATGCAATGTGATCTAAATCTATAAAAATATGAAAGTGTAAATTAAAAAAAACAAAAAAAAAACAACCAAAATTGTTACATCTTTAATTCCACTTTATTAGGGTTATTCACCAAAGTGAGAATTCATAGTGAATTTAAAATTTGAGGCCAAACAAACTGGAAGCATAGCTGGCCACAGAATAGTTAGAATTTAGCTTTTTATACCTTGAATTTGAAACTCACTTTAAATTCTCACTTTAGTGAATAACTTTTTTTTTTTTTTAAATCGATGTTTATATATCTGCAGAGAAAGCGATATTTTTGCTTCTAGTACCCTCTTTCCAGTTGTGCGCCCCTTTAAAGCAGCTCACTAGAAGATCAAAAGCACGTGGATTCCGAGCAATTAAAATAAAAACCTGTACATGCCCAAAAACAGCACCTTTTCTCTACATAAATATTACTTGTTTTTACTTTGAAGATTGTATCAGTCTTGCAGCTTGTTCTTTAACTTCTACCTCGGGGTGCTCGGATAAAGAGGACAGATTCATTTTTAATAGGGCAGAGTCCCCAAACAGCAGAGTATGTAGTGAATTCTCATCATAATGTCCATTACAATTGTGCGCACTTTCCAGATTCTCCGAGACATTTGCAGCAAATCTCAGAACTCTGCTAAGGATGTCTGTATGGACACAACTGTCAAAAAGAGCATTCAGCAATGATGAGCCCTGTAAAGAGAGGGGTGATTTAAAAATAAATAAATAAAAATTAAATAGTATTTCTCAAATAAATCAGGGGTTCTTTTAATATATATATATATATATATATATATTTTACAGGAATTAAGTTGTGTTATAAACAGATCGCTCTCTAAAATAAATTATATGCAACACTAAAAAATAAATAAAATAAATATGTTGCTTTAATAAGTATCCTTGTTTCAAGATTAACATTAAACCTCAGAACAAAACCCATTTACTTTATAATCAACAGACATGGAGAAACTTGTCACATTGCTCCCTCTAGTCTCAAATAGAAAGTTTCACACAAACCATTCCAGACTTTATATTAAATAAAAAAAATAAAAAAAAAGTCACCTTTACCTTGCTATGGAGAAGAGGTGCTGCCATTGAAGGATTAGCAGACAAGTTCACAAGAACTTTTGATGCGTGGATCTGAAAAGTTAAATACAAACAATAAGAAGTGAACTCGAAAGTTCATAGGAAATCTGTTTTTTCCTCTAATGCAGTCAGAGATTAATCTTTGCAACCCAGTTTGATGCAAAGAACCATCAGAAGGGAATCTGATAAAATTGACCCCCTATTTCTTAATGCATTATAAAAATAAATAAATGAAGAGGACAGCAGGGGGAAAAGAAGTAAAATGTATATACCCCTACGTCAGGAGAATCATGGTTTCCAGACCAGCTAGAGCTGCTCGAATCAGAAGAGTCTCACTTTGCTCTTTTCTAGAATGCGTTAATTGGAGAAGTATTTCATCCCCAAACTGTAGTCTCACTCATCACATAGAGTGAATGTAATTGCCCTATAAACAAATAGAAGCCATTCTGCCTCTGCTATCAGCTTACAACAGCCCGATTTGCTGATTTGACAGACCAGCCAATGATTGGCTGTCTTTTGTGAGGACTGCGTGCAGACAAAGTTGTGGCTGCAAAGTTCACATGCCTGCGCCCACACAAACAACATTTACAGGAGGGAACTAAGCACTGAGAATTCAGTCCAGCCTAATTGTCAGCTCTGATGGAGCAAATGTACAGTGAGCAGCAATTTTACAAACTACGGCATGTATTCTCAGAGGAGAGATAAGACTCAGGGAGCTCTATGCACCAACACCATTGCTCTTAGAATACACTTGGTATTACTGTCTCTTCCTATGGCCTGAACCTTACTTTGGGTATTGGGTGGGGGAGGCGAACAAATACTCAACTGTTTTCTATGAACATCATTTGAATAATCAGGAGCATCTATAAGGACACTACACATGCCATTGAGATTTGTATTATATGTGTGGTAGTACACAATGGCAAGATTAAGATTTTCTTCTTGTGTACAACAAGAAAATTATCCCACACATAGAAAATAAGAAAAAAAAAAAAAAAAGTTTAGCTGAAAAGTGGTAATATTACAAACAAAAAGTCCATAATAAGCAAACAAACTTAAGTAACAAAAAAACTTAAATGTAGACGCTATAGCAAACACACTACATATTAATGTAGTGGTTTTAGTGTATAGGTACCTTATCTTGGCCAATATAAAAAGCATTGCCTAAAGGAGCCCTGGCCGGTGGACTCTTGGTGGTGCGCGGGGGTGGGACGGTTTCCATGGTCAATAGGTGGGCAATGCAATATGCAGCTCTCCCCTGTAGCGAGAGTGGCAGCGAAGCAGGGTTATTTATTTTTCGGTACTGATTTTCTGTCTTTATGAAAATGCAAAAACCTTGACGGACTGCGACCAATTAACATCGTATAACAAAAACACATCTTAACGAAACAACGCTTGCTTTCTGTATCACTGGATAATGTTGTATAAAACACATTATGGCTTTTGCACAAGCCTCCATTCTGCAGATATATCTCAATTTCGGTCATTGCAAAAAAAAAAAAAAAAAAAAAACACAACATTGCCTTTTCAGAACAGCAATATTTACATTTGGTTGAAATACACCTCTGATGGCTGTCAGGCAGTCAATAGAGGCTCTTCATCCTGAAAGGAACACTCTGCGTACAAGAACTGCACCTCAATGAAATTGTTATGCTTCAAGGTCCTTGGTGCCCTTTTACCTTAAACGGGTTAACAGTTTATGAAGGGTTTAGCCCCAAAGCCCCTGTCAGTTCAGCACCTCTTCCCTTCAGCTGGATTCAATGCTTCTGAAGCATTGCATTGGTGCAGTGAAAAGATTGCTGCCACTTTGACATAGGTCAGCAGATGGATCTCTGATCTGGATTATAGGCCTTATCACAATCTACAGAGGCCAGTAATCTACTAAAGAAAGAATGTTAAGACATTTTCATAGGCCTTAAGAGACACCAGTCCCCTAAAGCACCTCAGTTTGCATAAATGCTTCAGTGGTTAACTACAGGTCCCCTCAACCTTTTTTTTTTTCCCCCACAAGTGCCACTTTCAAGTAGAAGGTAGTGCTTCTTCTAGGATTCAATGATTGTTTAACCCCCCCCGCCCCCCCCAAAAAAAACCCACTTTGTTGAGGGATCACTGCATTTGCAATTTATGCACTATAACCAAAAGCATCTGACTGCATTCAAGCCATTAGTAATAATAACATCACAAAAGGGGGTCTGGGGGGGTTAATACTTTTTACTTTGGGTGTTCATTTTTGCTCTCCTCAGACCACTGCCATGTTAATTGCTGGCTCTTAGAAGGAACACTATGGGGTCAGGAACAAACATGTATTTACCAGAACAACTACATTAAGCTGTAGCTTTTCTGGTGACTATTGTGTCCCTTTAAGTTTATTATATTCCTAGTGTTTTGTATGTGAATACATCACAAGCAGTGTTTCATTTAAATACTGCTTTGAAAACAACCATTGCTGCTGATGTCACAGAATGGAAAGGCCACTTCATTCTACAAAACAAGCCACATATATATCCACTGGAAGGGAAAGCATGAACGTGCAAACTGGTAGCTGTGTTCATCAATAAGTTTAGCAGAGGCTACAATTCCAAACAGCAGAGAAAACCGCAGCGATAGACCCTCTTCACAGAAGGGGGAGAATGGAACCCAGCATTATATGGAAATTCTGAACAACCACTTAAAGTGAACCCATCATGACAGGTTTACGAACACTTGACAACATCCAAGGCAGTAAGTTGATCACAGTGATAAATGATATAAGATTGCATTGGGAGCTTATAGCATTACTTTCTTCTAGCACTTCCATTGGTGCCTCTGATGCTGCTCCCTGTTTGTTGCAATTGTCCTGGCTTGGTGACACTTGCTCAAGCAGGACAGTCAATACGCTGGTTTTACTGGCCTATCCAGGCATGAGATATGCCTGGAGCAGTAATACTGACAGGGAGCAAGAAAACTGCCTTGGGGAAACTATGTAATGCCAAAAATTAATTAACAGATGGGAGAGGAGACAATTTAAAAAAGCTTAATTAAAATCTCTGCTAACAATATGCAGATATATTTTAATTCTCTTTAAGATCAACCTAACTGGTGTGTACCATGACAGATACATTTTAATATATTCTGCAAAGACCTCAGATTATGACATCATAGCTTGGTATGCAATGGCCCGGGGGTGCAGCAGATGCAAGTTGAACTTACCTGATGCTGCCTCCCCCCACAGACACTGCCTTCTTTCTTTAGCTTTTGGCTGATTACATCTCCCAACAGCCCACATCACTTCTGTACTCTTACACATGCACAATAGTACAACACTGAGGTCTATAAAGAATTCAGTGAGAGCTTCTATAGATATTGTCGCACAACGAGCGAGACACTGCTTCTTTCCAACACCATTCAAAATGGCTGGGGGGGGCAGGGCCTGGCCGCAGAGCTGTGAGGAAGCTCACCACAGCAGCTCCTGCTAAACTCGGCACTTAACGCTAAATTTCACCGTCACACAGGCACTTAATTGTGAATTTAAAGCTACCACTCGAGAGTAGACACTGAGGGGAAGAAAACGATACCTCTCCAGCGACAAACCGAGCACAACTCACAATGAGGCCTACAAGCATGGCGGGCGCAGGGGAGACTGCCACTCCCCAGCTGCAATGCCATGCCCAGAATCTGGCTGCAAGCCCTCGTTCCCCCCCTCTGGACCGGTGGGGGTTATCCCGGTCTACCCCCAACTGACTCCCTGGCAAAGCAATGGGCCAGAATCGGCTCCGTGGAGCCCAAAACCAACAGACCCAGCGGTCTTTAATATGGCGGAAACCTCCCACACCTCCGACGCATGGCGGGAAACGGAGACGCGACTGAACAGCATCTTCGCTATTTTCTGGGAGTCCCTGGAAGCCCGCATGAGAGCCTCAGAGGCTGAAGAACCACTCCAGACTTCACCACAGCGCACCTCACAGGAGGCCAGATGGGGACAAACAGCAGCGCAGCCCCAACAACAGCTGTATCACAAGGGTGACGCTAACCCGAACCGGCAGGGGCAGAGGCTAGTCACAAGGCCCCAAAAAAACGGAAGCTGGACAGCGGCGGAGGGTCAAGTACTCGCACCCCCCATGCAAGGCAGTGAAATGGAGGGGACCAGCGAAGCTGAGCACAAGACCTACCCAGACAAGGCGAGTGAAGCAGAGGGGAACAGGACCAGGGGAGGTGACTGCGTCAGGAAGGTACATACAGAGCTACCCCAGCCCAAGACAGGCAAACCTTCCCCGATGCACAGCTTGGCTGGAGCTACACTCAGCGCCCACAGCAACACTGCATAGCCTAGGGGACATCAGCTCCTTCACACCGAGGAGATCGCACCAGCTGCACCGATTACCACAGGAGGTACATACACAGCCCCAACAAGGCATCGGCTGACCCCCAAAGGGACTAAGACTCAAATCTGGGCATAGTACCATCTGTCACACAGCTCTCTGTGCCCCAACTGAACTCTCACGAATGTATACTGGAACATATAATTTACTTCTTTTGCTTTCTATTTTGTTTTCTGGTCTGTTCGCCCAGGGGAGCACGGGGGGATTAAAGTCAGAGTTCAGCAATTGTATAATATGAGTACACAAGCTAAGATTAGCCAGGATTTAAGCAACTAATTTACTTATAGTATGCTTGGCTTTGCGCCATGTCTGTAAACTGCTGTTTAACTGGTGGGCCCCAAGCAAAATATATGCTCCTGGACCCACAAATATTGCTGGAGCACCATAAGATCAGCTATGTTTCTGTCCTACACTATACCTCAGCTAACGATTGCTTCTGATTAATACTTACTCACACAGGATCAGCCCTGACTTAGGCCAATAATATACTTTAGCTGGTTTAGTACTGCGAAATGTTATCAAGCTGCTGCTTAGCATATAGGCCCCAAGCGATACATATACCACAACACCCACAAACACTGCTGGAATACAATACTGTATACCTCACATAAAGGCATAAACCAACATGTGACCCAGCTACTTAAACGCTTTTGCCCATACATGTGTTGAACCGTACACTGCTTAAGGTTGTCTTTCCTGTTCACTAAATTACAAAAATGTGCTGAGTTAACTTATGCCACGAAAATGTTTTACTATGTTATATTTGACTGCGTCTGTTACAGCTGTTGTGGCTACAAAGACACTGTTGTAAATTCTTGCACGACAAAAATAAAGAATAAAAAAAAAAAAAAAAAATGGCTGGGGAAAGTAACAAAACTTGATAGTGGTAGGACGACTTGTCAAGTTTTGTCAACTTGATGATTCTACACAAGACATAGTAGTCCTTAGATTGTCTTGTGATATATGTTGACAGTTCATGAGCATTTTACAAAGATGTATTCATAAAATGTTCATCCCCCTATTTAAGTGGCAGAGCCAATTTCATATCCTATAAGTCATGGCAAAAAAATTATTAATATTATGCTATATTCACACATCAGTGATTTAAAAAAATAAAAAAAATAACAGAATAGTGCAGAATACATTTTATCAACTGTGAAAAATTCAAGATGTGCCATGATTGTGTTCATTACTACAGCATAGTTTTGCAGTCATTGCATGTACAATACCTGAGTATACCGATTTCCTTCCGCTAGCAGTGTTAAAAAGAAAGAGATGTAATCGATGAAGTGGTTGTGATGACTGTTTGTAACAGACATATTAATTAGCAGCCTAAGTCCAGCCAATTGTAACTCTGAATTAAGTGCAGCTGAAGTGATCATTTCACAGACTCCATGGAGAAAATCCTAATAAAAAAATCAATAGCAGAAATCAGTTTTGCATGCATTTAGTGCTTATTCCCCTAATCTGAATAGATCTTTACCCTAAAGATAATTTATATGTGTCATAAGGAACAATGAAATAAGGAGGATATTGGGGAAATTAACTCTGTTCTAAACATATTGTGGTTTAGCCTAGAGCAGGAAAAAACTCCCCACTGGGTTATATACAGGTTAAAAAAAAAAGTTTATTGTTGCAGATCACCTACATGAGCTCAAGTATGACCCTGAGCACAGAAATTCCAAGAAGTCATATTTCCAACAAATTTCCCAGAATTCAGCAGGCACCCTCAATGGAGAACTGTTTGAGTCACAGCTCTTTAAAATTACTAATGCCCAGAAACTGAATTGATATCACTCCTACAGAACCTCCTCCCAAAAAACAAAAAAAATATCAGGTTAACGTAGAAACAGTGTAATGCGATATACCAAAATAAGCAAGAACAGTTACTATAAAATGCCATTACCAATCTTTTTTAGCAAAAAAGTTTCATAGAAATTTTGATCACAAAACATGCGGTTTAAAACAGTGCTACATTGCTAAATGAAGTCAGAAGCATGAAGCCGGTTGGTACATAATCTTCATGTAGATTTACATTTGATACAGTTAAGAATCACTGAAGGCAAACCCTTACCTTTATCAGTTTTTGATTTTGAACGTTCATACTCAAGTTGTTTAATGTATTTAATGCCTTAACTTTTACTTCAGAATTTAAATCTGAGAGTGCTTCTCCTATAACCCTTATGCCATCAAGATTCCGAATAAGATCCTAAAATAAATGAAGACATAATTAAATATACATGCATTTGGAGCTTTTCTTCAATAAATCAGCGATACTCTGGGATCAGACAGATTAATCTACATCCTCTGTAGCAGAAATACTAGGAGGGAAGAGCAAGCTGCAGCTCAGTAGAACTTACACCACCACATTATATTGGGAGCATTTTTTTTTTTCTGTAATGCTTTCATTTCGCACACATATCAAATGGCAAGGTAATGCTAAAGCCAGTCAGTGAGAATATGAAAACAAAAACACAACCAATAGTAATAACCTAAAAAGATCCACCACCACACTGGTAAATTCTGAAACTGACACACACTATTGTGCATCTGAAAATTACTCTAGGTCTGGGGTTCTCAACCCAGTCCTCAAGGACCCCCTACCAGTCCAGGATTTAGGGATTACCTGGGTGTGTCTAAGGTGTTTAGAAAACAAACAAACAACACCTTAAACACTTTAGATACACCCAGGTAATACATAAATCCTGGACTGATAGGGGGTCCTTGAGGGCTGGGTTGAGAACTCCTGCTCTAGGTGAAAAATGCCAAAATGTTAGAGCATTCTATATAAATACATATACAATATACTGATACATAGAAGTCCAAAACAGGATCTGTAATAGTAGTGTGTTTAATCTTCTCAATTTTTAATGTGCTTAGCAAATATAAACTAAAAATGCATAGTGTAAAACCAATATAATGATACCAGTAAAATAAAATATGCTACACAATAGTCCTCTTGAGCTGGAGTCCTTCCTCAGTTAGCTGCAAGTTCAGAACCTGCTAACTACTTTGTCCCATCTATCTATCTATCTATATATTATATATATATATATATATATATATATATATATATATCCATCCAATACATTTTCATTTTGAATTTACATTTGGACCATTGATCTCTTCCACATTTACCTCGCAGCATCTTCTATAGAGCCTGATCCGGCTCTTCACTATAAGTTTAATTTTACGTATTTTTATGTATGGTTTATTTTATTCAGTGAACACTATATGTTTTCAATTGTATCTTTTGTAGATCGCTCTGCTTACCTTGTGTCCAGCTTCTGTGTTAAGTATGTGTTTTCACAAATTTTTTGGGGGGTGTATTATTCCTTTTTACTTTCACAATTACTATAGGTGTGTAAAGGGGATACACCTCACTAGACACCCCTCTATTTCTATTTTCTTAATTTGAAGCACCAACACACTTTACCTTAGCTTTTTCATAACCTACCAATGAAGCTAGAATATTGAGATTCTCTTCATACACTCATTTTTCTTACTCGGATTTACTATGTGATTAGACATAGGGAATGGTTTGTTACAAGGAGTACCTGTTAAAACTGTGTTTCTTTTTCCAGTTGTTGTATCTCCGGTTTGACTTACTAGATTTTCTGGCTTTGCGTATACAAAACCAGTTTTAGAAAATAATCAAAACTATTTTAGGATAAAGGGAACCTCTATGCACCATAACAACTTCTGTGCATGTGCAGTATAACCCCAATGTCTTCTCTCCTGCGCTGTTTAGCTCTGCCCCTGACAGGGCTGGTGTTGATTGGCTGAGTGCCAGCTGATGCTCTAAGTCAATCAATAGCAGCCCATTCACAAAATGGCTTTAGACATGTATGTATCTTTCATAAGTCATTTCTAAAGATGGGGAGCTACTGGTTGGTTGCCTTAAAGCATCAGCCGACACACTCAGCGCTGAGGTATTCAAGATAAGAATTACAGACTTGATAATTCTGGAGTCGCATTGGTACAAATGTAGTTTCCTACCTAATAGCAGAGGTGCTTCGTAGCACCAAAAAAAAAACTGAAACATAAGTAGGACACATACCCTACTGTAAAATAAAGTATGGAGAGCAAAAAGCTCATTAAAGGGTCCCTGTCTAAACCACAGGGAATAGAAGAAAACGTAATACGTGAAAAAGCTGATAATCACCCATAGTGATATAACCATTGTGGTTAGGTGTCATTGTATAAAAAGAAAAAGCAAAGATACGTCCTGTGCCAGTTCTAGTGATGGTTATACTGTAGTGAACTAACTTGGTTTAGATTTACTTAGTTTTGGCTTTAAAGTTGTAATGGTGATATTATCCCTTTAATACCTCCTCCCATTTACTTACTTGGTTTACAGAGAATGCAGCACTGTTACAAAGTGAGACCAAGGCCAGTTCCCGAAGTGATGTGTCAGAACTTGTAGCAACAATCTCAAGAAGTTTTTTTATATGGTGAGGCTTCAGATCACCTGCTGACTGTGGAACATTATCTGGTCTGGCTAAAGGGAAAAAAAAAATGTAGAAGACATAATACTAGCACAGGATAATTTTAATGGGCAGGCAAGAACTATTTTTTTTTTTGTGTAGATTCCTTTTTATTATTAAAAAAAACCCAATAAATATGATTTTCCAGGTTCCCAAACAATTGGGGGACACGCAGGTTTCAAACACATGCATCAGCCCTGCACAAGGCAGTCTATACCTGCGTATCTTTAGTAGTGTGTGTGTGTGTGTGTGTGTGTGTGACTGCACTCACTCCCATAAATCTGAACCAGGGTGCTTGCTGTACCGGAATCAAACACCAGATTTACAAAAATTAATAAAGTAATAGCGGTGCAGGCACTCTGTGGTTCAAGACAGGCACTTTATTAGGAACCACAACAGCAACGTTTCGACCCCAAAGACCTTGACAAAGACCTTCTGGGGTGGAAACGTTGCTGTTGTGGTTCCTATAAAGCTATTACTTTATACCCATGTGTCGGCCAGCCCTGCCCTTACCCGCGGCCCGGGGGGATATCCCGGACACTCTGTCAATGAGGCTACCGGGCTTCCCCCCTCCTCCTCCTCCTCCTCCGCTCCCCGAGTCCCTCCGCCTCCTTCCAGCTCCGGCTATGAGCCGGTACACCCAGTAACAGGCGGCGGCCCCCGCGCACACACCGAGCAGCTGGCTGACCGCAGCACGGCGACCGGCTAACATGGTGACAGACTGACACCTTCCTGCTCCACGTGTTGGTGTCAGCACGCGCTAAGGGGCGGGGTTACAGGGAGGTAACACCCACTGGCTATAAGATCGATTCCGTCGGATGGATTAATGCGCAGTACCCGAGAGCCCGGGACCCAGGGTGTAGGTTGGTCGGCCGCGATAGCTGGGACTGGGTGTGGCTAAGACTAAAGGGGCGGAGACTGACGGACTAGAGGGCGGGATTCCATGTTGCTAGGAGACGGGATTACAGACGCTCAAAATTTCTTGACAACCCAGCCGTGATATTAGCAATCAGTGTTACAGCCCCAGCATGGCCTCCCTGCGCAACGCAGACACCCAGCTCAGGACCTACATCAGGCAGCACTCCCTGCCCCACATCTATGAGGTAACCCAGACCATACCAGACCATACCAGCCCCAACTAGCAATACTAAACCATAACAGACCATACGATACTGTACTAGACCATAATAGACCATAATAGACCATCCTCTGCGGGCTGCATGGGAGGGCTGTAAAGGGGCAGAGGACGGCTGTCTCCCTGGACCCCTAACATGGGAGAACTTGCAGCCTCAAACCATTCCATGAAAATTAAGGAACAATCCAAACACCATAACAACTGCAGCCATGGAGTGTGAGCTTGCTTGAGCAGGGCCTTCCTTGCATCTTGCCTCTACATACTTCCTAACATTATAAATGGACAAAGTAAGACACTTTAATGTCTGGATGGGCAGTGTTCACATTCAGAGTTATTGGGGCTAATTACAACCCCAACACATATGACATAGGAAGCCCAAAACTATTCGGGACTGCCTAATATCAATTCAATGCATATTTTATGTCTGCCTTCAGCATGCACTGCATACCTCATAATTGGGGTCACTTGGGTGGTATGCTACAGGCAGAGCCCACAATGAGAAGCTCCTGATCTCCTCCCTCCAGGGCCGGATTAACATAGTAGCTGATGGAGCTGCAGCCCATGGAATAGACCCATTAAAAAAATGTTTTTACTTTTTTTTTTACACACTACTCTTGCGTTTGCCACCTGACTGGTATTTTACCAGCACAGCCAGTATCTGAGGCTGCCTGGCCATGAGGCAGGAATAGGAAGTTACAGCATATCCCTCCCTGCCTCTCTCTACTCACTGATCCGCAGGGAAGCAGCTACACAGCACAGAGAGTTCAGACCGCAGCTCCCAGCCTGCAAAGACAGACTACAACTCAGGAAAGTGAAGGATAGGGGGAAAGGCAGACATAGGGACATTGGGAGACACATTGGGACACAGAGACACTAGGGAAACAGTGTCTCCATGTCGCCAAGTGTCCCCATGTCTCCCAGCCAGTGTCTCAGTGTCCCCTAGTCTCCCAGTGTATGTGTGTCAGTGTCCCCGTGTCTCCCAGTGTCCCCAAATGTCTGTGTCCCCAAGTCTTCCAGTGTCCACTTGTCTCCCAGCCAGTGTCCCCATGTCTCTCAGTGTCCCCAAATTTTTCAGTATCCCCATGTCTATGTCCACAAGTGCCCCCATGTCTCCCAGTGTCCCCAAGTGTCTCAGTGTCCCCATGCCTCCCAGCCAGTGTCCCTAGTGTTTCAGTGTCCCCATGTCTCCCAGTGTCCCCTAGTCTCCCAGTGTCTGTGTTCCCATGTCTCAGTGTCCCTAGTGTCTTAGAATCCCCAAATGTCTCTGTGTACCCGTGTCTTTGTGTCCCTAGTGTCTGTGTCCCCGTTTCTCCCAGTGTCCCCAAATGTCTGTGTCCCCATGTCTCTGTATCCCTAGTGTCCCCATTTTTCCCAGTGTCCCCAAATGTCTCAGTGTCCCCATGTCTGTATCCACAAGTGCCCCCATGTCTCCCAGTGTCCCCAAGTGTGTCAGTGCCCCCATGACTCCCAGTGTCCCCAAGTGTCTTAGTGTCCCCATGTCTCTCAGTGTCCCCTAGTATCCTACTGACACGGGAAACACAGACATGGGGACACTGGGAGAAATGAGGACACTGGGAGACTAGGGGACTGGGCGTCATAGGGACCCTGTCACTGTGATACATAGGGACACTGAGGCCAGGCTGGCCTTCCAATTCTTTAGACAGACATGCCCCCTTTTTGGGCATGTTCGAACCTTTTGGCAGTTCTGATCACGTGATTCGCGTCAGTGACCCACCCTTTTACCCCTCCCATTGACTTCCTGCTTCACTGGACACTGCTGTTAGGGGGTATGGATTTACTTGAAAGATGAAAGCCTAAATTAGAGAGAGATTAGCATAGAGTATGTGTTTTCTTATAGCTGCATCCTTTGAGTTTCCCTCAAACACCATCTCCATCACATACATGACGCTTGGGAGGTATGACTGTTTTATTGTTTTTGGTCGATACGATTCTGTAATTAGACCCCATCATAATTGTCAGCACCAGGCCCACTGGGCTCTTAATCTGGCCCTGCCTCCCTCCCACACTGATTGCAGCCCTCGTACCTCCCTAACCCATTCAATATTTTTATTTGCTCCTGTCCAACATTCCCTCCCTTTCCCCCATCGTCTTTCCCGCTCAGAGTGTGCACATGCACTCTAATACAGTTAAATGTTTGAATCAAAGGTTTCCCTATGAGATCGTTTAGCCACAGTGATTTAAAGGGCTTTATTTAGTGCTCACTTTCAGCACTACACACAACTAATCATTCAGTCTGGGGCCACTAAATATGGCTCCAGCTGACAGAGGCCGATAACTTGGTCTTCATAGTGTGAGCAGAGATTTAACCCTGCTAGCACCAAAATTACAGGATGTTCCATGCCATCCTATTGACTTAAAGCCCACTATTTTCCTGGTGGGATAAAACATCCTGAAGAGCTAAGAAAGAGTGTATAAAGTGCATTTTGATAATAAGGCTTGTTTTTCTGTTTCTAATAGGCTCTGCTGTGCAGCCTGTGTGTGATGTGCCCAGAAAACCCACTGGAGTTTTTAGAAGAGAAGATCAAGCAAATGATTGAGAAGGGTGACAGTGCTCTTATGTGGTATGTAAAATACTTTGTATATTTATTTTGCATTGTATGATAACGTGTTTAAATTTTTTTAGTTTAACCCCTTAATGGGATGCGATGGTGTACATTTGCGACCAGGCATCTTTTTACACTTTTGTGGTGTTTGTGTTTGGCTGTAATTTTCCGCTCTCTCATTTACTGTTCCTATACAAATTATATATTGTTTTTTTCAGGACAAAAGGGGCTTTCTTTACATACCATTATTTACATAATCTCATGTAATTTAATTTAAAAAAAATAAAAAATATGATGAAAAATTGAAAAAAATACATGTTTTTTGACTTTTACTTGAAAAATCTTTTACTCGTCTACAAAAGCGAATGAAAAAAACTGCTAAATAGATTAAATTTTTTTTCCTGATTTTAAAAATACCCAGTGTTTACATGTTTTTTTTTGTGCAAGTTATAGGGCTATAGGTACAAGTAGGATATTGCGGTTTCAAAACATAAATTTTGAAAATTTATCAATAGTGACATTGTAACACTATTATCTGTCATAAATCTTTGAATAACACCCCACATGTACATATTTTTTTTTTTTTTTAAAGTAGACAACCCAGGGTAAAACTAAATTGAACGCTAATTTTGGCCAGTGTTTGTGACTAAGTGGCTACTAAAAAAGACTGGACATACCCCCTTTGCAATACCTTGGGTTGTCTTCTTTTGCAAATGGTATGCCATCATGGGGTAATTCTTATTCCTGGGCTACCATACGCTATGAAAGGCAACGTAACCAACCTGGCCATTTTCAATGTAAACATATTTGACCCATATAACCCAGGGTCATATATTTGACCCTGTAACTTTCAAAAACGCTATAAAACCTGTACATGGGGGCTACTGTTATACTCGGGAGACTTTGCTGAACACAAATATTAGTGTTTCAAAACAGGAAAACATATCACAACAATTATGTCATCCGTAAAAGTGCTGTTTGTGTGTGAAAAATTAAAAAAAAAGTCACTTTCACTGACAATATCATCGCTGTGATATGTTTTATTGTTTTGAATCACTAATATTTGTGTTCAGCGAAGTCTCCCGAGAAAAACAGTACCCCCCATGTACAGGTTTTAGGGTGTCATAGAAAGTTACAGGGTAAAATACAGTGCTAGCAAATTAAATTCTCTGGACTTTCGGCCTGGGTTGGCAGGCAGGTCCCTCAAATTGCAATCAATAAAATTATTTAATTATGTAACGACGGCGATCGGGTAAGTACATTACACCGTTAGGACGGTTCAGGACCGTCAGCGGTCGGCAACGCTAAAATGCAGATGACGGTCCTGAACCGTCCTCGGTCCTGAAGGGGTTAATAGCTAATTTAACAGCACAATCACACTTAAAGGGACACCATAGTTACCAGATCAATTACAGCTTAATGTTAGGAGGGCAACCACATAAAGTGTTTTTTAACACTATAAGGTTAGGAATATACATTTGTATTCCTGACCCTCCAGTGTTCCTTTAAAGGAACACTCCAAGCACCATAACCACTATTGCTAGTCAAACTGTTTGCCAACCTAAATTGGGTTTATCGGACTCAAAAACTGTGTATTGAGGCTACGGTTTCGGCCTGAGACCCCGCTAATCCCTGCCCTGTCGCGGTCTCTCCGCGCGGAGTCGGTGTCTCAGGATGTGGTTTTGTTCCGGTACCACCGTCCCCGCTTTTTCCGCCTTCTCGGGCTGTTCTGCGGGGCTCAGGTCGGGTTCTGGGCCTACCTGGCACATTTCGGGTTCACCGAGCTGAGAGACACCCGAGAGAAGAGTTCGGGGCAACAGCAGGACGGGCAGAAGAGGAATTTAGGGTCTCCGCTATGGAGGGCAGGGTTTACCTTTAGCTGCCTGACAGTGGGTGGACTTATAATGGCAGCCGGCTTGTTGTTTTCTCGGCGTTCTGTCAGTGCTGTCACCCTTCATCGTGGAGGAGAGAAGGTAACCCTTGTCACTGCTGGTGTGTTTGGTCTTGGTTCATCTTTTACTGTGCCTTTGCGTCACATCTCTTCAATGGCTCATCGATCTGAGGTC